TTTTGGGCATTTTTGCATTCAGCTCAAGAGGAAGAGTTGATTAATTAGAATTAGCTCTGAAAACGAAATGCATTTTTGCTTCCATCTCGACTCGATCCTTGATTGACATTTGTATTTACCTGGTGATGCAGGTGTTTTGAAATGTTAAGAAATTTGTTTACCCAATCTCTTGTTAATGTGAATGTTTCACCTTTCTTAAGAACGGGCATTCTGCATTGTCGGATGCCTTGCTTCGTGGGTTTCTCTTTTATTCTTTCTGAGATAACCAGCTACAGCTAATGCGTGATTAATGAGATGCGCAAAACAGTGCTGCTTACCATGGCTGATGAGGATTGACGACATTTGCCTAACCCATTGAAGGCTTCTGCCTTAGCGGGGCAGTGAACTCACTTCGAGCCCCTCTCCTTGCTCTTCCTGATGGGAAAAGGCAGCTTCGATTCCCCTCCCCTCTCCTGTGGCTTTGGGAAAGAGCCATTCTGGAGTTCCCAAACACGTTTTCCAATGAGTTCTTTGTCAGGGCATACATTGCTTTCTGGAAGACTTGCAGGGGTTCTGCTCAAACCTGAGAATCCGCTGAAGCCACCTATCAGTGTTGATTGGGAAAGTAGTCAGTTGTGCAGACAGTTGGTGTTGGGGAGAAGGCTTCCTGCTGTGGTGTTTCTAGGTTTGGCGGTAGACGTTCATGCTCAGTAGCTGGTCGCCTGCAGAGTTTCCAGACTGTTGCTGACAGCATACGCAACGCCTCTGTCTCCTAGGAAGCCATTATTTTGAAGTACTTCAGGTGACTGGTTGATTACAGAGATTAGGTGACTAACCTGCAGCTCTGCTATCCATGGCCAAAGAGAGTCACAACCGTAGGGACTAAGGGGGGTATCCAACAAGAAACCTAAGAAGATTTTCGCTTGGGTTATTTGAAAAAGTCAGATTTTGAATTGTACAAAATGCATAAGGTTGTGGTTGAACTACAACTCCCAGAAAGGAAAGTCAGTTCCCCCCAAACTCCTCCAGTAATCAAACTTTGGGATATCAGGCGCATGTGCCAAATTTGGTCCAGATCCATCGGTGTTTGGGTTCACAATGCTTTCATGATGTAGGTGAACTACAACTTCCTCAAATCAGTGAATTTTCCCCAAAGACCTCCAGTCCGTTTTGCTGGTTGTGGGGCTCTACGCGCCAAGTTTGGTCCAGTTCCACCTTCGATGGAGTTCAGAGTTCTCATTGATTGCGAATGAACTATGAATCTCAGTACCTACAACTCCAAAATATCCAGGCCAGTTCCCCTCAAAGACCACCACTATTCAAATTTGGGTATATTGGATATGCATGCCAAGTTTGGTCCAGATCCACCATTGTCTGGGTTCATAGTACGCTCTGACTATAGGCGAACTACAACTATAAATCCCTCCAAAGACCTCCAGTATTTTTTGTTGATTGTGAGGGTTCTGTGTGCCAAGTTAGTTCCAGATCCACCGTTGGTGGAGTCCAGAGTGCTCTTCGATTGCAGGTGAACTGTACATCCCAGTACCTACAACTTCTATAAATCATGGTGAATTCTCACCAAACCTCTCCAGTATGTTTAGTTGCTGATCATTTCCCCTGTTTGCTGTGTGCCGTAGAAAAGAACAGGAAAGGATTAAGGGAGAGGTGGTGGGCGGAGTCATGAGCACTCCACGCCGTTGGAGAGAGTAAGACACACTGGGATGTCTGTGGTGGAGGAAACACATAAAATCTAGATGAGATTGTCCCTGTATGAAAGCCTCCACTTGGGTGGTGGTCAGCGTGGTGTTTGTGAAGGACATTGGCAGGGCTCTTGGACATGTTCATGGCACTCACTCTAACCTGCAGTGTCATTGGAGGAGGGCCTCGGGTGTCTCCTGAGTCGTTGTTTGTGGAGGCGGGAGCTTGTCTGTGTGAGTGGGCACCCCAGCCACATACTCACATACGTATTTTCACTTTTATGGTGTGTATAGATAGATGAAGGGCGTTGTTCATCAAAGGCACGACTTGGAGCGTTATGGGATAGTGTCTACCACCCGGCTCTGCTGTGCCTTACCTGCTGCCAGTGAGTGCCCCCCTTTTACTCACCCCGGATCAAGGCCAGTGGCAGCCCCGCCGTTTCCCTTGCCCTGCTACCCGGCAAGCCTTTGTTTCCCAGGGAAGACCGCTGGACACACCTATCATCCTTTGTAATCACTCTGCTAAGTGGCCAGGCTCTGGAGATGCAGATCTCTTGCTGTGTCTGTAGTTGAGAGCAGTTGTTCACTCAGATGCCTGGCCATTTCATGCTTTGATCTTAGGAAACAATGGCAGCGGGGGCATGGGGCATGGGGCATGGGGCATGGGCTGGCCCTTCTGAATTAGACTAAAACATAAATCGCAGCAAATTTCAGTTTTGAATGTTCTTGTTCTACACTCCTGGAGAGGTTAAGAGTGAAACGACAGGCTCATATTTGTGTTTGAGATTAATGATCCAAGCAACTTGTTTACGGTCAGATTTTTTTTTTGCCTGTTATGACACGAGCGATAGTTTCCAAGGTCCTCCGTGATGATGATGATGATGATGATGCCGTGGGAGGTGGTATAACGGTCTGGCGCTGAAAGCTTCTTATGGACCAAAAACCTTTAGTCAGGTTTAGAGCTCGATGAATTGTTCAGATTTTCCTTAATCTTCCGTAATGTAAGATTAAAAGCAAGATTAGAAAGTTCTGGTGGCAAGGCCAGATCCTTCCTTGGGAGCTTATTGCAGGATTACGAGTGTAGTTCTCCTTGCTATCCAGAAATCCTCCTTGTGCTGGAGCAGACATTAACGTATTTATTTTGGTGTACAATATTATAATCCATAGTGTCTTCTTCACAGCAGGACTCAGTCTTGCATTGAACGGCCACATCAAGAACCCTGAGAGTGGATTGACAGACCCTCCTTCGCCATGAGGTCTCACTCACTCTCGAGGACAGTTTGACTTTTTCCAGACGTGTCAGCTGTGTTTCAGACCAGATGGGACGTTAACTCCTTCTTTTAATTATATGTCTCGTGTTTTCCTTGTGATAACGCAATGGAGTCTTATTTGAGTGGGGAGCAGAGGTCCTCTGGTCTGTTTCCTTCTGAACTTCCGCCTCCTTCAGTTTTCCTTCATTATTTTGCAATGGAAGAGAAGCTAAAATATGGCCAAAACATTTCAAGTCCCATTTCCTCTATCAGGGTGAAATAGTTAAAAGCCAACAATTAATATATACAAGAGTGATTGTATTTGTGTGCCACCTTTTTCTCAATGTAGGACCCAAGATGACTTCAAAACAGTTGAAAACATGCCCAGTAAAAATGTTAAAAACAATCAAAAGCAGATAAAACAGTATAAAAACACACATCGAAAATTACCACCAAAACAATGTCAGAACACACACATGTCAACAAGACTCCCATGATGAGCTCACCTGCTTGCATGTCCAAAGCCTGCTTGAATATGGTATAACAAGGTTGAGATTCTCTCTTGGAAGTATCTTTCCCTACTCCTCTCACTTTTGTTTGACTGCCATTGCTGTCCACTAGTCTTGTGCATTTGCATAGAATCACTATCCGTTTCTGTTTCATTCGTCAGACTCCATTTTCGTTTTCAAGCACCTCTCCTGAAAATGGGTCCCTTTCCGTATGAGCTTTTTTGTCCCAAATCTGAACAAACAAATATTTCCATCCCATTGGCAGCAATGGGTGGGCTTCCCACGCTCCCCTTCCCCTCAGGGCTAGAGGGGTGAAACTAGCCAGCTCCACCGCCATTTCTCCCTGTTGTCCCCCCCCCCCCCCAGTCATGAAACATACCTTGCGCCACTGCTGAGGTCTCTTCATTGGAGCTGAGGCGGACCCACGGTGGGTTCCTTGGCGCAGGGCTGGAAGGCACCACGTTCACTGGCAGCTTGCCAGGGCCCAAAGCACCCGCTGGCTGTGGCCCAAAGGTGCTGCCAAGGCCTGCGGTTGAGAGAAAGGCACTCGGCGCCTGGCTTCAGGCCTTGGCAGGTGTTGGCGCTTTTGGAAAGAGAGTGTGTGGCCTTCAGGCCCAACGCGCACGCGCCTACCAGGGCTTGCAGCCAAGGACCAAAAATCAGGCAAAGAAATGGCTGCTGTTTCCATTTTCCTTTTGTTTAACTGCTATTTCCATACCAGAGGCGGGGTGTACCATTTCGTGCCATCCAAATTAACCAAATGGTACGAAAACACGAAATACACAGATGAAACGCTAACTGGGCCCATGACTACTGTCCACTGGCCACTCTGGGTCAGCATCGAAGCCAAGCCATAGCCCTATGCAGAGGGTTAAGTTTACCAGAAAATAAACAAATTGGTAAATTCATCTCACTTGTAAGTTCAGCGTGTTAATTTTTTTTCTTTTCTTCAGGAGAGTGGCGTAATTAAATCAGGCCCAAGATACAACATACGGTCGAGCAGGCAAGGCTTGCAGTCGCATAAACAGATCGATAAACCGATTTGTGTTTGCTGACCAGAAGAGATTTCTAATTACTGGTGCTCTGTATTCCCTCTTCTGATGGCACTCGACTAATTGAAAGAATAAGGAATCCAATTCCCTCTTCTTTGGAAGTTTGTTTCTGTTTAGCGCCACTTATCTGGGTTGGGAACGCTGACGTTGCCGGTTGAGGCTGAAGGCGGCCATTTATTTCCACCTCTCCTCGTTCTTTATTCAAGAGTTGCTTTAAACAATTGGACAAGTTTCTTCTTTGCTTGCTTGTTTGTTTTAACATGGGGCAAATAGCATAGTTAATGTTACTTTTTGCTGAAAGACTATACTTAGAAATTGACCCATGGCTTATGGTTTGTTTCTACACCTAAATCACAGTCCTAACTGGAAGGATTTCCTCCCACTTTAGGGGGGATTTAGGGAGATCACAGACTTCCGGTTAGTTCCCCATTTGGTTTGTATCCAGTGCTGGATGGCGCATTTGTTAACAAACGTCCTTGTTCCTTGTTCCCCTCCTTCTTTTTTCTTTTCCAGCCGTGGCCCAGCGTTTCAAATCTGGCGAAGGATTTCATTGACCACCTGCTCACCGTGGATCCTAATGATCGGATGACGGCGCTGCAGGCCTCGAAGCACCCCTGGGTGGTCACCATGGCGGCCTCTTCTTCCATGAAGAACCTGCACCGCTCCATCTCTCAGAACCTCCTGAAGCGGGCCTCATCTCGTTGCCAAAGCACCAAATCGGCTCAGTCCACCCGCTCCAGCCGCTCTACCAAATCCAACAAGTCCCGGCGGGTGCGAGAGCGAGAGTTGCGAGAGCTGAACTTGCGTTATCAGCAGCACTACAATGGCTGACACCTTCGTGGGAGGATCCCCACGGTCCCACGCGTTCATTGGTTCTTGGGGTGTGTTCTGCCCTCCATCTTCTTACGTGCGTGTTGTCCGCGGCCCGGCTGCCCTCCCTCTCCTCTCAGAGACCCACTCCACGTCCACTTTCCGGCCTGGAAGGAGGAGATGGGGTTTTGGAGGCCCCTCACTCGAGTCAAGTCACTTGCAGCCTCTCTCTCAACATTTGGAAATTCTGCCTCTTGGCCAGCCCTGGGAAACGTTTTCATCGTTAGCCACACGGAACGGAAGCGCCCACACCTCGCCGGGAGTCCCAGCTCCTCTTACCTATTTATAGTCTTCAAACGGATCAAAGTGAGATCTGTTGCTGTTGAACCTGGTGGTTGAGTGACTTAGAAATTCAGCCTAAACCCATTTCCTGGGAAGTAGGTTCCTTTTTACTCAGCTGGACTTATGAACAAGCATTCAGTGAAGGACGGCATAGATGGTTGAGGCAAGATCCAAAGCTTTGTGAGTGTGCGCAGGGAGGACGGCGAGTTTGCTGTCCCGGCTGCAACCTCCTGCCCTGGATCAAACAAATATTATTCCCAAGCAACACGACCGGAAGTAATTTTGAGAGGGCGCACGGAGCTGGGATGGGAAAGTCTAAAACTCCCATTGTTTGGGTGGAAGACTGTGCACGGCCGCCTGGACCACCCCAACCTGCTTTCTTCAGAGTCAAAGTCAGAGCTTTGATTTGGCCGTGCATTTAATGGCCTTTGACGCTCTGCACAACTGTAAAATAAGGACCAATTCTGGTGGAGGACATGGAAGATCAGGAATAGGGGTGTTCCTCCTCCTCCTCCTCTGTTTCCCTTTCTCTCTCCCCTCATCGCCTTCCTTTCTTTTCTACCTCTTGGGCCATAGACACAGAAGTGCCTTCACTACACAAGTCTGGTTGGAAATGCCTCGAATTAGGCTTTGCCCCTCTTTGGGTCTTCCCACATGCGTTGGGATGTTTTCTTGGGTCTTCCCTTGTGTTTTTACATCGAATTCCAGGATGAATAGCCAACTGAGCCACTCTTCTGACTTTTCTGAAGGTCCGGTATACGGCTTTGTACCACAGTGCTCAAAATAGCCGAGGCTCCTTGAGACAGCCTTCTTCCCTCTTCCGTCATCATACGTGCACACCGTATGATTTCCCAATACAGTAGTGACATCAAGGAAGGTGTTTGGGTCTGAAGGCCATACTAAGGTCCAACAGCCACTCCCCCCCCCCCCCTGCATTCGGAACAGCGGGGTGAAAGCAAGGCATCTCAGAATGATAAAATGCTACATGTATTGTCAAAGGTTTTCATGGCCAGAGTCACTGGGTGGCTGTGTGTTTTCCGGGCTGTTTGGCCATGTTCCAGAAGCATTCTCTCCTGACGTTTTGCCTGCACCTACAGCAGGCATCCTCAAAGATTGTGAGGTTTTCACAACCTCTGAGGATGCCTGCCATAGATGCAGGCGAAACGTCAGGAGAGAATGCTTCTGGAACATGGCCATACAGCCCGGAAAACACACAGCAACCCATAAAAAGCTCAAAAGGGCCCAAAGATAGCACTGGCCAACACATATTTTGGTGCCTCAAGTATTAGCCCTGATTCTGAGTATGTTCGACCCACTGATTCTGAAAATGGCACCAGTTTCCCCTTATTAGCTCTAGTTTTGGAAATACAAATATATGCAGGTACTAGTCTGTGCTCACCAATAGAAAACTATGGTAACATATCAAAGAAACTAGAGCTGATGTGGTCTATCCAATGCAGTTTTCTGAATCAGCACTCCCAATAACCCCAGGAACAAGCCTACAACCCAAGACGCCTATAATTTATTTCTCTTTTTTTGGTTGGGCCGTGTAATCTACCTTCCTCACCCCCCCTGCCCTCAGCTTGATCTGACTTTTTCCGGGTTTTAATGTGCCTACAGAGAAACATCTCGTGAGCACTGGGGTAAGTGCTAGAGCCATGTCCTACAGCCCTGAGTCTCCAGAGTCACCAGCCAGTCTGCTCCAAGTTAAATGCCACAGTCTTGAAATGGTTTCTTTTCTAGAAAAAACATATCCATGCATGCAGAAAGTAAGCGCATCAGGGAGCAGGATAGGAGACGGCAATGTCCTTGGGTGTGAGTTCTGGTGTCGGTTCGCAGGGTGCCTTGCTTGCAAGGGGGAATTCGGAAGCCACCTTTCCATCCGCAGTGTCAGGTGGTGTGTGTGGATGCTGAGACTCCCTTCTCCTGCTTTTGTAAACGAGGCAGGTGATCTCCAGAATGAAGCAGAATCCATTCCGCAGCTTGATTGGATGGTAATGAACAAGTCTGGGCGATTGGGCTTCTCACTTCTCCAAGCGGTGCTTCTGGCCTGAGATTGATCTTCCTCTGTCCTGCGGAAACTTCTACGTGCCTCTGAAACTTTCTGTCCTACGGCAGCACGGCCTGTTTCGAACGACAATGCCTTGACCCTGCCATCGGAAATTGCCTACAGGACAGGGCATTCGCTGTGGAAGCCGGTGGCCAAAACAGTTAAAGGCTGCTCAGTGTAATTAGCACTGGCCAGAGCTCATCCTGTTCCACCGGCTGACTCCGCTGAGGCATTAAGACAAGGCGCAGCAGCAGCAGCAGCAGGAGCAGGTTTGGGGGGATTGTTCTGGAACTGTGTGTTAGCCCGTGTGTGCACTCTCCGTACGGGTAGAGCGTTCCTCTGGAAGGCACGAGAGGTGCGCCTGGGGCGGGCGGGCGAGCCGTGATTGGGAAGGGCTTCTTAGCAAGGGGCGAGTTCTGCCTTCGTTTTGCAGAGAAAACACTTGTCGATAGGAAAAGTTGATAGAATCAAGAGCGAGTGTGCCTCAGAATGTTTGATCTGATTCTATTGCAGTGGGACGGCTTCATTGTTTGGATCCTGCTCTGTTTGCGCACGTCTGATTTCTGAGGCCGGGGGGACATCTAGTGGCTCAGAAGACCCTCCTGCAGACCGGTTTACAGGTAGCCCCGCGTTACAAACAAGATGGGTGCTGGAGGTTTGTTCTTAAGTTGAATTTGTATGTAAGTTGGAACAGGTACATTATAAGTGGAACTCCAATCACACACACACAGAGAGACATACACACGCTCCTTCATGGGGAGGGTGAACACCCCTGTGGTGTTTGTTTGTCTGCCTGCCTGTTCCCCTCTTCAAGGATTTCACCTCACTTTCTGTCCCTGCAAGAAATGGATTTAGAAAAATTGGCTGATGGTAGAAACAAGGATTGATGAGAAAGGTTCAGTGGAGACACCTTTTCCCCATGATGATTCTTTTTGGAGTGAATTTCCCTTCTGAGGGGGAGATTTCTCTCACTTCCTGTTGTCTCACCCCCGTTCTTAACTATGAAATGTTTGAAAACTGTGTGTTTGTAACTCGGGGGCTCCCTGTATCGATGTGTTGCTTTATGCTGAATTACTACTTCACTGTGGTTTGGTTGGCAATTAGATAACTATGTCACCTTATAGGCCACAGACTTCTTATTGGCTTCTTTAGGGTAGATGTGACGCATGTGGGTGGGTGAAAAGATCCTCAGTTGAGTCCGTGTAGGCCAGTGGCTCCCAAACATTTTTTGACCAGGGGCCACTCTCCAGCATTAGTACCAAAAGGGTTACAAATCAGTTTGTGGTCAGCTTTAGATCTGGGTATTTGGGTTCTGATTCAGAACATTGCATTTGATAGACCTCATCTGCTCTGGGCTTCTGACGCAGAACATATGCCACCCGGTAGTCGCCACCTGCTCTCCCACAGAAAACCATATTTCATCATCTAGAGCCGCTAACCTTATTTTAGGTCTTGTGGCCCACGGGTTGGGAACCACTGGCGTCGGCCATCCATTTGGAAAAGGGTGGTCAGTTTGGTCAGTGTGGCCCATGCTGCAGAAGTTTGCCCACGAGGGGGGAGGAGGAGGGGTTTGTTGCGTGGGCAGTTGTTACCTGTGACTTTCCAGCCAGCCTTACAGACAAGATAAACTAGATACAACATTGAGATTTTAAAAACGTGCACTCATATTTCTCAACAAGAAAAGCCCTAAATTTCCCTTGTTTGGACCTCAAATTCAGCAAAGCTTTGTCTCGTGCACTTTCTCTTGCTCCGCGTCCATCCCCGTATGGCGCTGCAGATTCAAACTGTTGTGCAATTTTACTAAAATAGGTGCCAACAAATGGCAACGCTTGTATACAGAGTCCTGTCTAGATGTCACAACACCTTCCATCCTGTTACAAAATGTAATCCTATTGGAACTTAGCAATACTGTGTTTTCCACGCAAGGAAGGACAGCTGCGTCTAGGGTGTAAACAACACCTCTTGTCCTTTGCAAAACAAAACAAAGGCAGTCTTTAGGTTCTGTGCTAGTTTGATAAGAAGGATGATCTGAAGCGGGCATGGGCAAACTTGGGGTCTCCAGGTGTTTTGGATTTCAGCCGGTAGGCTGTTAGGAATTGTGGGAGTTGAAGTCCAAAATACCTGGAGGCCCCAATTTGCCCATGCCTGATCTAAAGCAGTGGTTCTCAAGCTGTGGGTCCCTCCCCAGGTGTCTTGGCCTACCACTCCCGGAAATCCCAGCCAGTTCACCAGCTGTTGGGATTTCTGGGACTTGAATGCCAAAACATCTGGGAACCACAGACCTAAAGAGACATAACTGGAAGTTGGACGTGAGGTGGACGGATAGCAATCTTTGGCCCGATGGTGCCTTTGGAAGTGCCTGTTATTCTGGGACCGGGCATGAGCAAACCCTTCATGACGAGTCCTTCTGAAGTGCTCATCAGACAGAATCCAGAACTTGGAAACAAAATGATTTGGGATGGAAAGTTCTGGAATTCTCCAGATTCTGGGATCTATCCTAAACAGTAGTTCTGGGAAGCTCACCCTTAAAGTCTGTCTGGAAGCCTCGTGGTGCATTCACGGCAGACAGCAGAACTAGGAAGTTTTTATTCCCTCTCTGGATTAAAGCGCTTTTAGACAAAGGTAACTAGATGAGGGCGGGATCGAGCCGACTCACCTTTCCCTCACATATTGATAATGTCGAGAATGGGATTTGTGACTTTGACTTGATCATAATGATATCTTTGGTGTTCTGAAGCTTCCCCGTTCTTCAGCGTGGGGCTCCACTCCTAAAATCTCAGTTTCTGGTGTGTTACTTTCCCAAATAGATGTTTTCTTTTCTTGTATCAGGGATGGCCAGATGTTGTTGAATTGCAGCTTCCACTCTCTGCCATCAAAGCCAGTTGGGGGGGGGGGGGTGAAGAAATTTGGCAGTGCCACGTTGCCATGCTCTCAAGCCACGCATCCTTCTAAACTAAGCTGCTGGTGCTGCTGCTGAAGGGAGAATCCATGTGTTCCTACAAAGAGTCCTGCCTGCACCTCATGCACGTTCCTGGGATCTCAGGGCTCCTTACACTTCTTTTTTTGGTCGTGTCAGGAGCGACTTGAGAAACTGCAAGTCGCTTCTGGTGTGAGAGAATTGGCCGTCTGCAAGGATGTTGCCCAGGGGACGCCCGGGTAGATTTGATGTTTTTATCATCCTTGTGGGAGGCTTCTCTCATGTCCCCTTTGCATGAGGAGCTGGAGCTGATAGAGGGAGCTCATCCGCCTCTCCCCGGATTCGAACCTGCGACCTGTCGGTCTTCGGTCCTGCCGGGGGCCCCATACACTCCATACACTCCTTAGACTAAGAATCACGTTGATACTCGCACCAGATTGTCTCTCACCCTCCTGCATCTCCTTTCCTCCCCTTCTTGCACCGCACTGAAGCAGGCCCAGATCCCCCTGATATTTCAAGGATGGCGTGTTGCGCAATTCATCTTCAGTCTGATGCCACCAAGTATTTTGTGACAGTCCTTTGTATCCCGGCCCTCGAGTGTGCAGGGAGAGTGGCAGGCCAGGTGGAAAATGTGCCTCCCCGGGGTTGATGCTGGGCTTGGGCAAACCTGTGGGACGTGGTTGCTGCTCTTTTTCCTTAGTTCAGGCACGGCTTGAGCCAGTCCTTCTGGTCTTACGGCCCGTTTCTTAGGATGCAGATTTGGCTGCTTCTGAAAGAGACTGCGACCGCAGCTCAGGCGGAGCCGGCCTTTTGCCTCGGACCCATTTGCCATCTGAAGGGAAGCGCTCCTTCCAGGCTCCAGGCCCCCTTCTGCTGAAGGCCCTTCCACACAGCCGTATAACCAGGAATACCAGGGCAGAAAATCCCACAGTATCTGCTTTGACCTGGGTTATCTGAGTCCACACGGCCATATATTCCACTTTGAAGCAGAAAATGTGGGATTTTATTCATCTGCGTGGAAGGGCCCCGAGGAACAACCTTTATGTCACAGCCCAAAGCGCTTGCTTCCCCCACTAGCGCTACTGGTGATGTGTGGAAAGGCTGCACTCGGAGCATAATGCCACACATGTGCTCTTACACGTTGCCTTGTGGACGGGGCCCTGTGCCACGTGTTTGATACAGATTTGTTTCTGTCGTTCATAGTCCGTGCCTTGTCTCTACTCCTCAGTGGGAACCCAGGACCAACATCCAGGGAAGTGAAGCCAGTTAGTCACGTCTATCTCGCGTGCCTCTAGGCTTGGATCTTTCTCACACTTCTGCCTTCCCTGCGCACCTCGTGCTGTGCTGCACATGGTGAAACTCAGGAGAGTGTGTCAGAAGACATTGGAAATGGCACGAGGGCCATCTGTTCACATGGGTGGGCAGGAGGGGTCCCTGAAGGACCCACCCACCACTAAGGTGTGTCTCTAGAGTCTCCGTCAGTCGAGACATCGCCAATTCAAACATGGAGGGCGCCCTGCTTTCCCTTTTGGGCGGCCACTCAGGGGAAAGGACCCACTGCTTTCCCGTCTCTCCCTCTTCCTCTTCCTCGGTGGTTCAACTGCCCTTGTGCCGTGGGATGAAGAGCTGGAGACAAATGTGTGAAACCAATGCCCCTCGAAATTTCCACGTACACCAGTGGTCCTCAACCTGTGCCCCCCCCCAGATGTTTTGGCCTTCAACTCCCAGGAATCCCAACAGCTGGATTTCTGGGAGTTGGAGGCCAAAACAGTTGGAGAAGGACCCACAGGTTGAGGACCACTGGCTTAGAGCGGCTTGCCTGTGGAGGGGGGGGGGGCTGCTGAAAAGAATGGCTGTTGGTCAAGCCGGACTGCCATGGACCTTCTGGAGAAATGAGACCACCCTAGAGCAGACTTACTACTACCTGTGTGCTACTGGGGGGGGGGGTGAAGGTGGAGGGGCACGCTCTCCTTGAGGGAAGCCTGCCCGGTGGGATGGCTTCTCCGGTTGCGGAATGGAAGTGCTTGGAAGGYAGGCTTGTTCCTCAAAGGTCTCTGYGAAGGAGGCTGGAAAACCACGGTGGGGAGTGAACCAGGCACCACGGTTCCTTTCCAGCGCGCAGCCGGCCGCCTTGTTCTCTGGAGGCTTTTGGCCGGAGGGACATCTCCTCTTTGCGCCCCTTGACCTCTTTCTCTCTAGGTCGTCAATATTTCCGTATGGACATGGCCGTGCCTCTCCGAAGCTCTCCTTGGCAAATGGTGGGAACTGTGCTGTGGAGACGCGGGCCTTGGCCTTCTCCTCTCACCCTCCGCACCCCAGTTGCCTTCCCTCGAGTCTCAAGCCGAGCGTGGGCCCCCCGCTCCTCCCCTTTTCAGCTCAAGGGCTCATATCTGTGATTGTTATTTTTGCCTTTGGTGCCTTTTTTACACAATGGAATCCTTACTTTTATTAGAGTGTGATTTAACCTGTAATGTTGAAATTAGTGTATAGAGTTATTTATTTTTGTGTATTCAGTTTGTGTTTAAATTTGTCAATGTATCCTGTTTATTCAATAAAATGTTGGCTCTCTTTGGGTTCCCGGATTTCTTTTGGCCGGGAGGGAAAGCGGCTTCATTGGGTTTGTGGTCGATAAGGAAAACAGGGGCTGTGACCGCCACCTGAGAAGTAAAGGCTAAGCTTTCCCTTGACATTAAGTCTAGTCCTGTCCGACTCTGGAGGTTGATGCTCATCTCCATCTCTAAGTTGTCCGTAGACACCTTCAAGGTCATGTGGCCTGCATGACTGCATGGAGTCCCGTTACCTTCCTGCAGACCTGTTGATTTACTCACATTTGCATGGTTTTTTGTTTTTTCTTCATGTTGGCACTCTTTTGTTACCCTTTCATTATATTTCTTCCCTCTGCGTTAGACCACCAACGCAGAGCGCTTCCATTGGGCAAGGATCAACAGCAGGCATTCAAGAAGAAATACACAAGTGAGTATTTGTTTCCAACCTCTCTGTCCTAAGCACCTATTTTCCTTTTCTCCACCACACATTTTCTTCCACATTATTATCAACTGATAATAATAAGAAAGGAATGGTCTAATATACATTTGTACCCACCTGATGGAGATGGCACTTCACTGACGACCTGGATCTAGGTAATGAAATGGAAGCTATTTTAGGAAGTCCTGTCCAAATACAACTTGCGCCAAATGGATACAGGTTGAACACCCTTTATACAAAATGCTTATGATGAAAAGTGTTTTTAGATTATTTGCATGTTTTTGAAGTGCTAGGTTGGCAGAAGCTGGGGCTAACAGAAGGAGCTCACCTCGCTCCCTGGATTTGAACTGCCAACCTTTCAGTCAGCAAGCTCAGCAGCTCAGCAGTTTAACCCGCTGCAGCACCAGGAGGCCTCCATCTACCGAGGTGCTAATAGCTGTTCCTTGTTAATTAGTGCTCATCAATCCTTAATGAAGAAAGAAACGTTCTATACCTGTCTGTCCTATACCTGTCTTCTGTTGCTTAGATGTGGATTGTTGTTGCTGTTTATTCATTCAGTCGCTTTGGACTCTTTGTGACCTCCTGGACCAGCCCAGGCCAGAGCGCCTCCCTGTCGGTCAGGGCCACCCCCAGGGCCTCCTCCAGAGTCAAGCCAGTCCCTTCGAGGATCCCATCCCTCCACCTTGCCCTTGGTCGGCCCCTCTTCCCTTTTCCTTCCCTTTTCCCCAGCATCTTTCCCTTCTCCAAGCTTTCCTGTCTCCTCATGATGGGCATTCAAAGGACTTCCTCTTGGCCTCTCATCTCCTTCCCTCCAACGAGCAGCCGGGCATTATTTCCCGGAGTACGGACTGGTTGGTGGGATCTTCTTGCGGTCCAAGGCATTCTCAGAATTTTCCTCCAACACCACAGTTCAAAAGCGCCCATCTTCCTTCGCTCAGCCTTCCGTATGGATTTGGAGCCGTGCGTGGGATTTCAGTGTCTTGCTCTCATGCAATCCAATACTTCAAAAGTGCTAGATGGGGTCCTGCCCACATCTTGTCCAAAATGCAAATGGAGGATGATTTTAGGCAAGGCAACTTATTTATTAATTTTATTTACTTGATTTGTATACCGCCTTTCTCAGCTTTTCGGCAACTCAACTTCCCTCATTCACAGCATTTAGCACATGGGTCCAGAAGTTGGCATCATCATCATCATCATCATCTCCTGGGTCTTCCCACTGTTTCTGACATCTTTTTTTTCTTACCAGGAAGGAAAAATCCATTAAGAAAGGAAAAACAGAATAGGTTCTCAATGCGAATAAGATTGCTAGTGTTAGGAACTCTGTCTGAAAGACATCTTAATGGCGCAATGTTAGAAAATGTGGACCATTTCCGCTCCCTTGGCAGCCCCCTCTCCACAAAAGTCAACATTGACACTGAAATTCAACACCGCCTGAGCCCTGCGAGTGCAGCATTCTTCCAAATGAAGCAGAGAGCGTTTGAGGACCGGGACATCCGTAGGGAGACAGACCAAGGGGCTTGTTGATGAAGCTATTGTTCCCCCAACCCTGCTATACGCCTGCAAAACGTGGACTGTCTATAGATGTCACACTCAACTCCTGGAACAATTCCATCAGGGCTGCCTCTGAAAAATCCTGCAAATCTCTTGCGAAGACAGGTGGGGAAATGTCAGCATGCTAGAAGAAGCAAAACCACCAGCACTGAAGCCATGCTCCTACACCATCAACGCCGCTGGACTGGCCGCATTGTCCAAATGCTCAACCACCGTCTCCCAAAGCACTTACTATACCCCAACTCAATAATGGAAAACAGAATGTTGGTGGACAGGAATAGAGATTTAAAGATGGGTGTTGTAGTACAGCGTGATAGTAACGTTACTACTACCAGTAGAAGGGAGAAGAGGGCTGCGCAGGTGTTGAAGTTTTAATCTTAAAAACTGGCATAGACACCGAGAACTGGTAAGCCCTGGCCCTTGAGCGGTCTAACTAGAATTCAGCTGTGACTAGCAGTGCTGCAGAATTCGAAAAGGCACGAAAGGCGGGTGAAAGGGAGAAAGGGAGAAACCTTCCAAGAGGAAGGCCTGTGGCTCTTTCCTTCCTCCCTTCCTCTCATACACAGGTCACCTTTACCCCCCGCCCCACTCCCCGGGATATCCCAGAGGGCCACTTCACCTCGTGACAGCCTTTATATGAGATGAACACTTTGACTTTGGCATAGAGATTTCTTCTCACTGACAAGGAAGGAAAGTGGGAAACTGCCCGAGCCTACAAAGGGAAGCTTTTTTTATTTTCAGACTGCAATTAAGGGTTTGGGAGCTCATTTAAAAAAAAATAATTGTGGATTGCAAAGGACATCTTTCAATTCTTTGCTGATTGTGGGCACCTGAACACTGGGATACTGCGGCAATGCACATGACAACCAGGGTTGCAAGGAAAGCACCTCTTTTATTGCTTGCAGAGAAAGATACAGGCATTGCGGTGGGCCTCTCTGGCCCAGGTGCTCCTCTCGCGCATTTCCACGGACGGGAATGGCTTGGGCACCCGGGCTTGTAGCCTCAGGCTCCGCAGGCCTGCCTTCAGTTATATGCTACCACCTGCTCGATCCAGTTGCGGAATTTGGAAACACGGGTGTAGACGGCAGGGGTCCCGACATTGCAGTTGGTGGTGCCCCAGGAGACGATCCCGATCAAGGTCCACGCCGATCCCTTCTGGCACACGAGAGGCCCGCCAGAATCACCCTACAAGGAAAGGGAAAGCAAGGGGTCTTGGTTTGTGCACCCACCATTTGCCAACATGCCAATGATTTGATTGTGTGGTTAAACTGGTGTTTTGTTTTTGGAAGGACTGGCCTTTACATCATCATCATCATCTGAAACACAACAAGATTGCTACACAGCAAACAGGATCACTCTGCTGGCTGTTGTATTGGATCTCCCGTCGGGCCCTTCCCAAGTGTCTAGGACTGTGTGATGTATCAGCAAATAATGTGTGCAGATCCCAGTCGGGTGGCCTTTTGCAGCCGGCAGGTGGTAATTTTGTCAGTGCCAATTATGTTTAGGTGCAGGCCAAGGTCTTTAGGCACTGCACCCAGTGTGCCGATCACTACTGGACCACCTTGACTGGCTTGTGCCAGAGTCTTTGCAATATTATTATTATTATTATTATTATTATTATTATTATTAGATACATAGCAAGATTAGTACACAGCAAACAAGATCACTATGCTGGCCTTTATATTTGATCACACGTCAGAAACTTCCCAAGTGTCTACGACTGTGTGAGGTATCGGTGAATAAAGCGTGCAGATCCAAGTAGGGTGGCCTTTTGCAGCTGACGGATGGTAATATTGTCAGTGCCAATTGTGTTTAAGTGCAGGCCAAGGTCTAGGCCAGGGGTCCTCAAACTAAGGCCCGGGGGCCGGATACAGACCTCCAAGGTCATTTACCCGGCCCTCGCTCAGGGTCAGTCAGCCTAAGTCTGAAAGGACTTGAAAGCACACAACAACAACAACAACAACAACAGCAACAACAACGATCCTATCTCGTCAGCCAAAAGCAGGCCCACACTTCCCATTGAAATACTAATAAGTTTATATTTGTTAAAATTGTTCTTCATTTTAATTATTGTATTGTTTTTTGCACTACAAATATGGTATTTGCAGTGTTCATAGGAATTCGTTCCTGTTTTTTGCAAATTATAATCCGGCCCTCCACCGGTTTGAGGGACTGTGACCTGGCCCTCTGTTACAAAGCTTGAGGGCCCCTGCCCTTGGCACTGCGCCCAATATGCCAGTCACCACTGGGACCCCTTTTATTGGCTTGTGCCAGAGTCTTTGCAGTTCTGTTTTTAAATCCTCATATTGTGTAAGCTTTTCCAGTTGCTTTTTGTCCAGTTCTCTCTGGGATTGCAACATCCATGATCCATACTTGGTTTTCCCCCCCACGATCGTGAGGTCAGAAGTCTTGTGTTCCAAAACTTTGTCCATTTGAATTTGGAAGTCCCAAAGTAGTTTGACGTGTTCATTTTCTGCAACTTTTTCAGGCTTGTGATCCCACCAGATCTTTGTCACAGGCAGATGGGATTTGTGACACAAGGTGCAGCGGATCATCTGAGCAACAGTGTTATGCCTCTGCTTATAGTACGTTTGCGCAATGTTTTTGCAGCAGCTGAGGATGTGATCCATCGTTTCGTCTGCTTCCTTGCAAAGTCTACACTTGCAATCTGTCATCGACTTTTCAATTCTTGCTTGGATGGCATTGGTTCTAATTGCTTGATCATTATTATTGTTATTATTATTTTTGATTTGCTAATCAAAAACCTGCGTACACACTTAAGATTAATCAATTTAACTGTACATTGATTGATTTAACTGTACAAAAAGACTTGGAAGTAGAAACATTCACAAACACACGTATTTCCCCTGTTTTAACAGTAGAGGAGGAGCCCAACAAATCAAAAGACAGTCTAGGTCCTTGTGGGTTTTTTCGGGCTATAGGGCCATGTTCTAGAGGCATTTCTCCTGACGTTTCGCCTGCATCTATGGCAAGCATCCTCAGGGTTGCTTGCCCTGAGACCTCACTACCTAGTGATTCCAGCCATGAAAGCCTTCGACAATACAAAAGACAGTCCTTGTTCGAATAAATGATCCAATGAATGATTTCTTGCCATTCATGAGAAGGTGGTGGCAAATGGCAAAAATGCAATCTGTGGCACCATTCCTAGAAGAGAGGCCACGTGTACCTACAAACCCACTGAGAAACGAATACTTTCCTGTTCAGCCATTTGGTTAAGAAACTGAGTCCCGAGTCGTCGTCATTCTTTGAGCTTTGCTTCAACCACCAATCCCGCCCCGTGGCTCCTCCTAATCTATATTACATAGGAAATAATTCTGGCTATCCTTGTGTTTTAAGGATTAATGGGATAATGTATGTGAATACATTGTGAGCTTAAGGAAAGCTGTATGTCAGTGGCAGGGCTTAACCTTCGAATACTCCGGCCGGCTGAGCACTGGCGTTAGGAAGGCAGATTCTGGTCTCTTGCTCCGTGGGAGGAGATCCAAGAAGGCACGTTGACAGCCGTCTCTTTAGGTATTAATATTTATAGATCTGGCCGTGTGAGCAAACCGCGCCATTTCCCACCACACCTTTGAGCCATGGTACTCCCCGCAGGGAGATGGGTGGAGGAGACCTTTCTGCTTGAGGAGGCCTTGGAGGGATGAGTGGACAAGGCCAATGCTTCCTCAACTATATGGATTGGACATTTGTTGTTTTTGTCGTACTGAGGTTTTTTTTAATGGTCACGTTCACGCCCTATGGATGGCTGCAGGACATGCCCACCGAGACATGGAACCAAAGGCTGGATTGTGAGTTCTTCCTAATATTCAGATGGAATCGCCTTTTGTAGTTTGAAGCCATTGTTTCGTGTCCTAGTTCCAGGGAAGCAGAAAACAAGCTTGCTCCCTCCTCCCTGTGGCTTCCTCTCACATATTTATACATGGCTATCATGTCTCCTCTCAGCCTTCTTTTCTTCAGGCTAAACATGCCCAGCTCTTTAAGCCGCTCCTCATAGGGCTTGTTCTCCAGACCCTTGATCATTTTAGTCGCCCTCCTCTGGACACATTCCAGATTGTCAACATCTCTCTTCAATTGTGGTGCCCAGAATTGGACACAGTATATTCCAGGTGTGGTCTGACCAAGGCGGAATAGAGCATGGGGAGCAGGACTTCCCTAGATCTAGGCACTATGCTTCTATTGATGCAGGACAAAATCCCATTGGCTTTTTTTGCCGCCACATCACATTCCTGGCTCATGTTCCCCTTCTTCCTCCCCACGAGGACTCCAAGATCTTTTCCACACGTCCTGCTCTCGAGCCAGGCCTCATCGTCCCCCATTCTGTCTCTTTGCATTTCGTTTTTCCTGCCAAAGTGGAGTCTCTTGCATTTGTCCCTGTTGAACTTCATTTTGTTAGTTTTGACCCATCATCTCTCTCAGGCCTGTAGCGAGGGAGTGGTTTTAGGGGTTCAACCCCCCCCCCCCCAAAATGTTTCAGTTTTTTTTAAAAAAAAAAACCTGGTTTACTCATGAGTTTTAACTGGTGAACCCAATCCCTAATTTTTATTATTATTTATTTTTTATTTATTTATTTATTTATTTATTTTTCTTAAGTAATTGTTATTATTCCTCTTTGTTTTTTTGTTTATTTATTTGTTTGTTTAATTTTGTTTATTTTTTTTCTATTTTTCTTTATTTATTTTTTATTATATTATATATTATTTTATAGTAAAATTATATTGATTAATTATTTAATGGATAATTAATTTTAATGATCAATTATTAATCATTTTATTGTTTTATTTATTATTTTATTTTGTTATTACTTTTTATTTTATTGCTTCTTTTACTATTTATTATTTATTTTATTTGTTTTGTTGTTTTACTATTATTATATTATTATTTTATTTATTATATTATATTATTTTATTTTTTTTTTAAAAAAAAAAACCTGGTTTACTCATGAGTTTTAACTGGTGAACCCAATCCCCATGCGGCTAAGTCTATGAGATGCAAAAAATTAAGAGTCCCTCCAGAACTGTAAGCACTATCTCAAGCAAATATTGACAATTTATTCACACTGTCATTACTTGCAGCAATAGCCGATGTAGTGAAGCAACCAAGTTGGGGGTGTGAATGCTCTCATGAAGGAGGCCAGACTTGGTGGAGGTGGTTGACAGGGGCAGAGCTGCAAGCTATTGAAGGTTGCCCCTCCCCCCGAAATTTTCAACCCTCCCCGAATTTTTTTTCTGGCTACGGCCCTGATAATCTGTCAAGATCGTTTTGAATCCTGCTCCTGTCCTCTGAAGTCTTGGCTCTCCCTCCCAATTTGGTGTCATCTGCAAACTTGATGATCCTGCCTTCTAGCCCTTCATCTAAGTCATTAATAAAGATGTTGAACAGGACCGGGCCCAGGGGGGAACCCTGCGGCACTCCACTCGTCACTTCTTTCCAAGATGAAGAGGAAGCATTAGTGAGCACTCTCTGTGTTCGTCCACTTAACCAATTACAGATCCACCTCACCGTAGTTTTGCCTCGCCCACATTGGACTAGTTTCCTTGCCAGAAGGTCATGGGGGACCTTGTCCAAGAAGGCCTTACTGAAATCCAGGTACGCTCCATCCACGGCATCATTCCCCGCATCTACCCAGCTTGTAGCTCTATCGAAGAAAGAGATCAGATTAGTCTGGCATGACTTGTTTTTGATAAATCCATGTTGACTGTTAGCGATGACCGCATTTGTTTCTAAGTGTTTGCAGACCGCTTCCTTAACAATCTTTTCCAGAATCTTGCCCGGTATCGACATGAGGCTGACCGGACATTGGTCATTGTTTGGGTCATCCTTTTTTCCCTTCTTGAAGATTGGGACCACATTGGCCCTCCTCCAGTCTGCTGGAACTTCTCCCGTTCTCCACGAACTCTCAAAGATGATTGCCAATGGTTCCGAAATGACTTCCGCTAGTTCCTTCAATACTCTGGGGTGTAGTTGATCTGACCCTGAAAGGGGACTTGAACTCATTTAGAGCGGCCAGGTATTCCTGGACGACTTGTTTCCCAATTTGGGGTTGGATGTCCTCTAATCCCTCATCCACTCCATCTTGCTGAGGTTGAAGATGACTTTCTTTTTGTGAGAAGACCGAGGCAAAGAAGGCATTAAGTAGTTCTGCCTTTTCCCTATCATCCCCTGTCAGCATTGCCCCATCTTCTCCTCGAAGAGGCCCTATCGCCTCCTTGTTTTTCCTTTTTCTACTGACATAAGAAAAGAATCCCTTTTTATTGTTTTTAATGTCCCTGGCAAGCCTGAGCTTGTTTTGTGCTTTAGCCTTGCGGACCTTTTCCCTACAGGTGTTGGCTATTTGTTTGAATTCTTCTTTGGTGATTTCTCCCTTTTTCCACTTCTTGTGCATGTCTCTTTTGTGTTTTAGCACAGTTAGAAGTTCTTTGGACATCCATTCAGGCTTCTTTGCACTTGTCCTATTTTTTCTCTTTGTTATCACAGTTTGCAATTGTGCCTTGAGTATTTCTCTCTTGAGAAATTCCCATCCATCCGTAACTCCCTTATCTTTTAGTATCTGTGTCCATGGAATGCTGCTCAGCATTTCCTTCATTTTTTGGAAATCAGCTCTCCTAAAGTCCAAAGTGCAGGTTTGACTTATCTTAGTTTCAGCCTTCCTTTGTACCTCAAATTGCAGGAGCACATGGTCACTTGCCCCTAAGGATCCGACCACTTCAACCGCATTGATCAGGTCCTCCGCATTTGGGAGCACATGGTCATGGGAGTTTTGTGTGCCAAATTTGGTTCCCTTCCATCGTTAGTAAAGTTCAGAATGCTCTTTGATTGTGGGTGAACTATAAATCCCAGCAACTACAACTCCCAAATGACAAAATCAACCCCCCCAAACCCATCCCCCCACCAGTATTCAAATTTTGGTGTATCGGATATTTGTGCCAAACAGTGAATGGGAATACCTCCTGCAGATCAGATATTTACGATTCACAACAGTAGCCAAATTACAGTAAAGAGGTAGCAAGGAAAACACTGTTCTGGTTGGGGGTCACCACAAGAGGAGGAACCCGGATTCAAGGGTCGTGGCATTTGGAAGGCTGAGGACCATGTTCTAAATGGTGGCCCTCGAGGATGCCGAATAGCGAAGGGAGAACGTATGGGGACCAGCGCTTTCCGGCCAGGGCTGCCCCCTCGGCCCAGCGACCCTCGCTCTCCTTGTGTGATTCCCGGGCGCGCTTCCTTACCTGGCAGGAGGAGGCTCCAGCCCCACCAGCACAGACCATGGAACTGGTGATGCGGCTACCCCAGTATTGCTGGCACTGATTCACCGTCACCAGAGGAAGGGCCACTTGTTGCAGCCTGGCCGCAGAGCCACTCGCTGGAGAAACAAGAAAATCCCAGGTGGGAAGGTCAGGCCCTTGAAGGGACCTCAGAAGGGCTCGCGACAGACACAATTCATACTGGCCGGAATCACTGGGTTGTTGTAGGTTTTTTGGGGCTGTATGGCCATGGTCTAGAGGCATTCTCTCCTGACGTTTCGCCTGCATCTATGGCAAGCATCCTCAGAGGTAGTGAGGTCTGTTGGAACTAGGCAAAATCCACAGATATATAAAACTCGTTTCTGTTTTAGTAACTTCACTAGCTCTGAGATGCTTGCCATAGATGCAGGTGAAACGTCAGGAGAGAATGCCTCTAGACCATGGCTGTATAGCCCGAAAAAACCTACAACAACCCAATTCAAACTGGGTTGCTGTGCAAATGGATTTCTTCTATGATGAGGATTGCTGTTGAGCTCTGAGGAAAAGGGGGCATGGCCCCGTAGCCTAGAGACGTCAACCCCCCCCCCCCCTTGTGCTTTGACCCTTTGAGCCTTGATTGAACTATTATGGCTTTTTTCCTGTGTCAGGAGCGACTTGAGAAACTGCAAGTTGCTTCTGGTGAGAGAGAATTGGCCATCTGCAAGGATGTTGCCCAAGGGACGTCCAGATGTTTTACCATCCCGTGGGAGACTTCTCTCATGTCCCTGCATGGGAAGCTGGAGCTGACAGATGGGAGCTCACCCCACTCCAACCTTTCAACCAGCAGTCCTGCCGGCACAAGGGTTTAACCCATTGCTCTACCGGGAGCTCCAACTATTCCATTGCTTTGGAATCAAGGGAACACGAGCCCATCCATACTACAGGATGAAGAAACCACTGTCTCTACTCGCCCCATCCAGGTTGCCCCCTGAAGCTGCCTTGCCTTCCATCTACTTTCTATTTGGATAGTTTTGCTTCTGTCGTCTGCTTTTGGCTTTGCATTTCTCCAGCCGGAGGCACCCGTGGAGGCCCACCTACCGGTTCCACTGGTCCGGCCCCAGCCGGTGGTGACGCACTTCAGCCCCGCGGGCAGGGTCTCTGTGGAAGAAGCCAGGCAGACCGGAGACACGCGTGCGTTCAGCTGAGCCGGAGAAGACAGCTTCAGCAGCGTGATGTCGTTGTTCAGGTTCCTGCTGTCCCAGCCGGGGTTCGTGATGGCCTGGAGAACCAAACAGGAAGGCCTGATGGATGGGCATCGCCAAGACCCCAGGGGTCCCCTTCCCTTCTAGACCCTTCCAGGGATGGCGGAGCCACCCAGACAGGGCCCTGCCCAGACGGCTCTAAGGGGATTGGGGCCAGATTGCCTTCTTGGCTTACGGAGGACAGCTATTCCGTGATTCCTTGAGTTAAGAGTTGAATTTGTTCTGAGACTGAGCTCTTCACTCATTTCCCCCCCATCCTGTACTATTTCCAGCCTCCTTCCCTCTCTTGCTCTCTCTCCCTCTCTCTCTTCATGAAGCCAAACATGCCAGGAATAACAACAACCACACAAAATCAACTGACCCAAATTTCCTCAAAGCAGACAAGAAGAGCAAAACAGATGGCAATCTCCCAAAATGGGTAAGAGCACGAGGTACGGAGGCGGCTCCCTTCAAGGCCCAAAGCCCTGTCCTCTGGCGCCAGCGCTCCCTCTGGAAATAGCTCTTAACTCAAAATGCTGCTCTTATGTCAAAGCAAAACCAGGGTTGAGCGATTGCTCTTAACTCAAATGCGAAAAGTTGGGATGCTCTTAAGTCGAGGTTACACTGCATTGTGTTGACCCTGTTAGGTAATGAAAATCTTGCAACATGAAACAACTCCCAAGAATATCCAGGGATAGTCTGTGCCTGGTTTTATTATGGTGTTTGTTTCATATTGTTGATTTTGTTTGTTATTTCATATTTTGTTATGATGTATTTTTGTCATTGTGTGTTTATTATGTTGTGTTATTTTGGGCTTGGCCTCATGTTAGCCGCCCTGAATCCCTTTGGGGAGATGGTGCCGGGCTATAAATAAAGATTATTTTGATTATGATGATGATTATTATCCAAGAATTATCCAATTCTTATAAAAGAAATTCCATCTCAAAATATAAGTTACTTATTTACACTTACTGATTGAAAGCCTTTTCTACTAAGATGGGATTCAAAGTGACACACAATAATTTAGAAAAGATGAAGCTCAAATATTAGTTTACTGAAGTTTTTAAAAATAACAATATTTCTTTAACAGGAGCCTCCAGTGGCGCAATGCGGTCAACCCTTGTGCCGCCTGAACTGCTGACCAAAAGGTCGGCGGTTCGAATCCGGGGAGCTGTGTGAGCTCCCATCTATCAGCTCTAGCTTCTCATGCGGGGACATGTGGGAAGCCTCCCACAGGATGCTCAAACATCCGGGCAACGTCCTTGCAGACGGCCAATTGTCTCACACCAGAAGCGACTTGCCGTATACTCCCAAGCCGCTGCTGACACAATAAAAAAACTTTCAAAGATTAAAAACAGTTAAAAACATTATAATCAATAGTTTAAAACCAATACGCTTAGATGTTCCTCCGAGTTTCAGTGTATTCGGTGCCCAGTGGGCGGCTTCTCCTGAGCCTTAGGTGCCCAACGCAGCCGACCGACGCACCTTGACGATGGACCGCCTCTGGATGGGCTCGGCGGCAGAGCTTCGGTCGTACTCTCCGAGGACCACGTAATGCGACCCGGCCCTGGAAGAAAGAAAGGGAGCGCCTCAGGAAGGCAGGGGGGGGGGGGGTTGCTCCCTTGTGCCCACCCCCTTCTGCCCAATAAAATAATTGAAGCACTGATGGAGAGGGGCGGGGGGGGGGAGATAAACTAAAGCAGGAATGGGGAGCATTTTGGAAAATGGCACGCCTAACCTTTTGAGAAAACCAGGAATCTTTTGGAAAGGCATCAGAGTGTAACCTTTTCATAGAATCATAGAATCAAAGTTGGAAGAGACCTCATGGGCCATCATCCAGTCCAACCCCATTCTGCCAAGAAGCAGGAATATTGCATTCAAATCACCCCTGACAGATGGCCATCCAGCCTCTGCTTAAAAGCTTCCAAAGAAGGAGCCTCCACCACACTCCGGGGCAGAGAGTTCCACTGCTGAACGGCTCTCACAGTCAGGAAGTTCTTCCTAATGTTCAGGTGGAATCTCCTCTCTTGTAGTTTGAAGCCATTGTTCCATTGCGTCCTAGTCTCCAGGGAAGCAGAAAGGAAGCTTGCTCCCTCCTCCTCCTCTGTGGCTTCCTCTCACATATTTATACATGGCTATCATATCTCCTCTCAGCCTTCTCTTCTTCAGGCTAAACATGCCCAGCTCCTTAAGCCGCTCCTCATAGGGCTTGTTCTCCAGACCCTTGAACATGTTAGTCGCCCTCCTCTGGACACATTCCAGCTTGTCAATATCTCTCTTGAATTGTGGAATCATGGCATTACTTTCCTAGATCTAGACACTATGCTCCTATTGATGCAGGCCAAAATCTCATTGGCTTTTTTTGCTGCCACATCACATTGTTGGCTCATGTTTAACTTGTCCACGAGGACTCCAAGATCTTTTTCCCACGTACTGCTCTCGAGCCAGGCATTGTCCCCCATTCTGTATCTTTGCATTTCATTTTTTCTGCCAAAGTGGAGTATCTTGCATTTGTCCCTGTTGAACTTCATTTTGTTAGTTTTGGCCCATCTCTCTAATCTGTCAAGATTGTTTTGAATTCTGCTCCTGTCCTCTGGACTATTGTAAAGTATGAACATCCTGAGAAGGGTTAAAAACTCGCTTGAGTCAACGTTCTCCTTAGTGGTAAATATCCACTAGTATTCATGCGAGGCAACTAGGTTTCTCAGCTGTTAGACTGACATACCTAGGTATCTCTTTGAACTGTTAGGAACAAAAATATGCCATTGCACAAAAAACATATAAAGCAGCGTTTCAGAAGTGTTTTTTTTCCAGTTGTGCCAAAACATTTTCTCTCCCTTAAAACATCTTGGTTTAAATCATGCTCTCAAGAGTCCAAAAATAAGTAGTCTTTGTCAAAAGTAATATATCTGATTTACATACAAACTTCATGTATTCAGCATAGAGGTACTTTGCTTCTCCATCCAGTGACAGATACTAGGGCTTCTTTGTGCAGACAACACAGGGTCCCTTTCATACAGTCTTGACCGTCCAAAGTCGGTCTGTTCTGAGGGTCTAATAGAGTCTCATACAGTCCGAAGGCCTAACAGCATCTCCAAGGCCGCCTGCTTCCACGACTTCTCAAACGGAGGCTGATTGGGAGGGATAGCCAATTGGGAGGGATAGCCAATAGTCCAGAGGACAGGAGCAGAATTCAAAACGATCTTGACAGATTAGAGAGATGAATGGCCAAATACTCCACTTTGGCAGAAAAAATGAAATGCAAAGAGACAGAATGGGGGACAATGCCTGGCTCGAGAGCAGTACGTGTGAAAAAGATCTTGGAGTCCTCGTGGGGAGAGAAGTTAAACATGAGCCAGGAATGTGATGTGGCGGCAAAAAAAGCCAATGGGATTTTGGCCTGCATCAATAGGAGCCTAGTGTCTAGATCTAGGGAAGTAATGCTCCCCATGCTCTATTCCGCTTTGGTTAGACCACACCTGGAATATTGTGTCCAATTCTGGGCACCACAATTCAAGAGAGATTGACAAGCTGGAATGTGTCCAGAGGAGGGCGACTAAAATGATCAAGGGTCTGGAGAACAAGCCCTATGAGGAGCGGCTTAAGGAGCTGGGCATGTTTAGCCTGAAGAAGAGAAGGCTGAGAGGAGATATGATGATAGCCATGTATAAATATGTGAGAGGAAGCCACAGGGAGGAGGAGGAGGGAGCAAGCTTGTTTTCTGCTTCCTTGGAGACTAGGACGCAATGGAACAATGGCTTCAAACTACAAGAGAGGAGATTCCATCTGAACATGAGGAAGAACTTCCTGACTGTGAGAGCCGTTCAGCAGTGGAACTCTCTGCCCCGGAGTGTGGTGGAGGCTCCTTTTTGGAAGCTTTTAAACAGAGGCTGGATGGCCATCTGTCAGGGGTGATTTGAATGCAATATTCCTGCTTCTTGGCAGAATGGGGGTTTGTGTTTTGTCTGTTTTGTTGTTTTTTTTTCTTTTTTGGATTTTTTTTTGTTTTTTGTTTTTTGTTTTTGGACTTTTTTGTTCTTTTCTGTTGCTTTAAATGCTATGATTCCTGCTTCTTGGCAGAATGGTGTTGGACTGGATGGCCCAGGAGGTCTCTTCCAACTCTTGGATTCTAGGATTCTATGATTCTGAACCCCCAGGTCGGATCACGTGGCCTGCAGCCCCTCCCATGTTCTAGAGGCATTCTCTCCTGACATTTCGCCTGCATCTATGGCAAGCATCCTCAGAGGTAGCGAGGTCTGTTGGAACTAGGAAAAACCTACAACAACTCAGTGAGTCCGGCCATGAAAGCCTTCGATAATCTGAATTCCATACATAACAAATAACTAGTACAGGGGCCTTGAAGAAGGTTGCTATTTCCAAGAGAGGAGGCCAACCTCCACCTATTGCTCGAGTGCACCTGTGGCCAGCCCTCCTTTCTGGCTCTGCTGGCCCAATAGCATGGGAGGGGCCACCTATTCCTTCACGGTGGGCTCACCTTGGGAGCAAATGACTGAAGCTGAAGAATGAGGACGGTTGGGTGTCCAGAAGGATGAAGAAAGGGGTCGCTAGAAGGTCAACTGGAGACATCTCCTGCCTCGAAGAGGGAACTTCAGCCCATGCTGCCCTTATGCAACATCTGTGGAAATCCCTTCGTCTACACAACCACTGAAGGTACAAGAGACCTCTCCAATGTTCTCTCGACGAGAACAGGCCCAATGAAAGGATGGGTGAGTCCCCACCTGCACTGGTCCTGTTATTTTGAACGGGTCTGACTCCAGTTGGGAGTAAACCTGGAGGGCGCTGCGGCAGACGCCTGCGCTGGGCAAGGGGCAGCAAGGTCTCCATCTGTTACAGAGGGAAAGATAGGAAGCCGTGCCCACTCCGCTGGTCTGGCTGAGAGGCCACTTCTATCCCTCCTGCGGTCCCGTGGCTGCCTCAATGCCAGGAGGCTATTTTGAAAACTACCAAGGACTTCATCAGATGGGCAGCGGGAAGCAGAGGCAGCGGTCTTCCTCGGTTCCCGACTGTCTTTCCCCGTCTTTTACTGTATTTCCACGCTTTTTCGCATTTGGAGTTGGATACCACCTGATTCCTGAAGATGGACTTCTGATTCCGTTTCCACACACTGCGGAAATGGAGCCCCACGGAGCCCCACTGGAGGTGCCTTGACGTCATGTGGTGGCCTCCGTGAGACCCCATTTCCGAAGCCCTCCCATGGAAACGGAGCCAGAAGTCCACCGGGTGAAGTAGTCAGCCGTTCCCCTTCTTTGCCTCTTTCGCCATCCCTTTCCTTTCAGGCCACGCCCTTGAATGTGCAGAAGGAAACTTTGATGTTTATCCACCTTATGATCTCAGGAGCAAAAAGGGCTTTCCACAAAGATGACATCGGAATAAGCTGGGCTGGACTGAGAGGCAGCCGATGACCTTGGGTTCTATGGGGAGCTTCCTTTGTGAGCTGGAAGCCGCCTCTGCAACTTCTGGGATTTGTCACTTATTTTGTTTCAAGCTGGTCAAAAAGACCTTCCTTGCAACCCAAACTTACCTCCAAGAAAGAAAATCAAAACTTCCATTCTCACCTCACTTGACAGTGTGCAGCGGTCACCACCCAGTTCTCGTTTATAAGGGAACCACCACAGAAATGGGAACCAGTGCTAGACTGGAAAAAGAGAAAGGAAGAGGACATTTGAGCGACATGCAGGGAGGAGGCAGGGGGGCCGATTCAGAGCTGCGTATCTCACGGCAATGGTGCCATTGGGACATGCCTTAGAGGCAGCCCAGGGCTGAACTGGGACACAAACCGTCTCCCAGCTTCGTTTGTTTGTTTGTTTGTTTACTTTATTTATATACTGCTTTTCTCAGCCCTCAGGCAACCCAGCAGTTTTCCTGATGGGGAACAAAATGAGTGGAATGAAACAAGCAAACAAGCAGATGGGCCAGTCCTTACGTTTAGTTTTCATACTAAATGCCATAAAAAGGAATCAAAGTCAGCTTTTCCATAAAAGGGGGACCAGAACCAGATAAGGCAAAATGTATCATCATCACCACCACCATTATCATAATCACTGTTATCATCACCACCATCACCACCACCACCACCATCACCACCACCACCACCATCATCACCACCACCACCACCACCATCACCATCACCATCACCACCACCATCATTGCCACCACCATCATCATCATCATCATCATCATCATCACCACCACCACCATCACCACCACCACCATCATCACCACCACCACCATCACCATCACCACCACCATCACCACCACCATCATCACCATCATCATCACCATCATCATCACCATCTCATGTTTTCCTCAGTTTGGGATTCATAGATAAAAATGTATCATCATAGAAAGATTAAAAAGAAATTAAATCACCTTTCAAACTGAAGCCAATTAAAATGATTTAAAACAACAAGAAAAGCCCAACACATCATGCAAGGCCTGTCAAGACCATCTGGAGAAATTCCTGACTCAGGGGCTTGACAGCTGCGTCTTTCTTCTTCTTCTGAGATCTCCCCAAAGAGATCCCTCTTCAGCAGAAGGCATGGCTGAAGCCCACTAGAGAGGAGGAATGAGGAACGGCTTCTAAGGGAACTCCACACGACAGAGGACAATGAGTTGGCCTTATGGCTGCACCACCTTTCGAGGGCATCCCTGCAATTCCCAATTCTGGAATGTTTCAGAAGTATTGCTCAGGTTGGAAAGCATAACCGCCTTACCTGCAGGGAGACTTGCCAGGGCCACGAGCCTGACACCGCATTCTCCCCATTGACAATTCTCTCGACGTCCCTCACATTCGGCTTAATCGAAGGGACCCCGCAGCCTAGGAAGGGTCAAGCAACCACCAGTCAGAATACAATTTCCGTGTCAACATGATCTAAGGTTGCCAAAATAAAAAGTGGGAATAGGTTGTCATGGTTGGAATCACTGGGTTGCTGGGAGTTTTCTGGGCTGTCTGGCCATGTTCCAGAAGCATTTTCTCCTGACGTTTCGGCCACATCTATGGCAGGCATGCTTAGAGGTTGAGGGGTCTGTTGGAAACTAAGTAAGACACTCCACAGATATATAAACCTCACTTTCTTAGTTTCCAACAGAGCCCTCAACCTCTGAGCATGCCTGCCATAGATGTGAGCAAACGTCAGGAGAGAAAGCTTCTGGAACATGACCATCTTGTGGGAGGCTTTTTTCATGTCCCAACATGAGGAACTGGAGCTGACAGACAGGAGCTCACCCCACTCCCTGGATTTGAACCGCTTCTGGTGTGAGAGAATTGGCCATCTGCAAGGACGTTGCCCAGGGGGACACCCAGATGTTTTACCATCCTGTGGGAGGCTTCTCTCATGTCCTTGCAAGAGGAGCTGGAGCTGATAGAGAGGGAGCTCACCCCACTCCCCGGATTCGAACCGCCAACGTTTTGGTCAGCAGTCCAGTCGGCGCAAGAGTTTAACCCATTGCACTACCGGGGGCTGCTCTGTCATAAAGGAGTTAAGGGGAATGTTTGTCTTTCCATAGTTGAATCTGGTGGGCTGTGAGGAATTGTGGGAGCTGAAGTCCAAAACATCTGGAGGGCTGAAGTTTGCCCATGCCTGCTCTAGCCTGCTCTAGTTAACGGGTGACTGGAGGGAGGGGCGAAAAGGCAGAAAAGCCGGCTGCCTGCATGTAAAGTAGCTGCCAGGAAGTCGGCACAGGCACACAACGGGAATGTGTCTTTCTCTGCACTGTTTGCTTCTCCTTCCTTTCGTGGAGAGGTGTGGAGGGCAGCCGGTGCCCTTCCTGAGGTGGCACTCGTGGGCGTTGTGGGAAAGGAAGGGTCTGTCCCTCACCAGCCGAGGAGAGGACGGGAGCAACCAGGGGAGCCCAGCCTGGAGCTGGGACCCGTCCTGCTCAGGATCTTGATGAATGGCTTAGACCAGGGGTCCTCAGACTAAGGCCCCCTGCCCTTACCCGGCCCTCGCTCAGGGTCAACCTAAGTCTGAAATGACTTGAAAGCACACAACCACAATCCCATCTCATCAGCCAGAAGCAGGCCCACGCTTCCCACTGAAATACTAATAAGTTTATATTTGTTAAAATTGTTCTTCCTTTTAATTATTGTATTCTAAAGTGTTTTTGAACTACAAATAAGGTATGTGCAGTGTGCATAGGAATTCATTCATATTTTTCAAATTATAATCTGACCCTCCAACAGTTTGAGGGACCGTGACCTGGCCCTCAGTTTAAAAAGTTTGAGGACCCTTGACTTAGATGAAGGGTCAGCAGGCGGGATCATCAAGTTTGCGGACGACACCAAATTGGGAGGGAGAGCCAAGGCTCCAGAGGAGAGGAGCAGGATTCAAAATGATCGTGACAGATTAGAGAGATGATGGGCAAAAACTAACAAAACGAAGTTCAACAGTGACAAATGCAAGAGACTCCACTTAGGCAGGAAAAATGAAATGCAAAGAGACAGAATGGGGGACAATGAGGCCTGGTTCAAGAGCAGGACGTGGGAAAAAGATCTTGGAGTCCTTGTGGGGAGGAAGGGGAACATGAGCCAACAATGTGATGTGGCAGCAAAAAAAGCCAATGGGATTTTGGCCTGCATCAAGAGGAGCCTAGTGTCTAGGTCCAGGGAAGTCATGCTCCCCATGCTCTATTCTGCTTTGGTTAGACCACACCTGGAATATTGTGTCCAATTCTGGGCACCACAATTCAAGAGAGATATTGACAAGCTGGAATGTGTCCAGAGGAGGGCGACTCAAATGATCAAGGGTTTGGAGAACAAGCCCTATGAGGAGCGGCTTAAGGAACTGGGCATGTTTAGCCTGAAGAAGTGAAGGCTGAGAGGAGATATAATGAGGGCCATGTATAAATATGTGAGAGGAAGCCACAGGGAGGAGGGAGCAAGCTTCCTTTCTGCTTCCCTGGAGACTAGGACGTGGAACAATGGCTTCAAACTACAAGAGAGGCGATTCCATCTGAACACGAGGAGGAACTTCCTGATTGTGAGAGCCATTCAGCAGTGGAACTCTCTGCCCCGGAGGGAGTGTGGTGGAGGCTCCTTCCTTGGAAGCTTTTAAACAGAGGCTGGATGACCATCTGTCAGGGGTGCTTTGAATGCAATATCCTGCTTCTTGGCAGAATGGGGTTGGACTGGAGGATGGCCCAGGAGGTCTCTTCCAACTCTTGGATTCTAGGATTCTATGTTCAGCAGTGGAACTCTCTGCCCTGGAGGGAGTGTGGTGGAGGCTCCTTCTATGGAAGCTTTGAAACAGAGGCTGGATGGCCATCTGTCAGGGGTGCTTTGAATGCAATATCCTGCTTCTTGGCAGAATGGGGTTGGACTGGATGATGTCCAGGAGGTCTCTTCCCACTCTTTGATTCTAGGATTCTCTGGTTGTGGGTGCGCGCCTGCTACTTACTCACCCAGGACGCCTCCGAGGAGGGCGAGGTAAGCAGCCACTGCCCACAGGAAAGCCATTTCGCTGGATGCCCAGGGAGTGTCACAGCACCCGGCGCCACACGTTTTATACCAGCGCAACAGCTGTGCCCAGAGCCTGTTGGCAGCCAGACTCGCCTTCCTCTCCCAAAACCTTGAACTGATAATGGCAGCAAACCAAATATCGTCTTGTGTTGTGGGCAGGTGCACCTGTTTCCCCTCACAGCTTACTTTGCAGGACTCCACAGGAGAGACAAGATTCTTTTTTGTTTTGTTTTGTGCCATTTTCAAGTCCAACCCATTCAAGGACGAAATGATGCCACATCAGAGGTGGGGGAAATGTAGCCAAGGACTGCCTGGGACTGAGGATTGCTATAGTGTGGAAGCCCACTTCAGCTCAATGGGGGGAAGGCTGTGCCAAGTGGGCTTGTTCTGCACTACTGTCTGTCCATCATCCCCGTGTGGCATTTGGCTGCTGTGGGGCTGATCCTCATCTACATTGATCGAAATGGTTAGTGCAGACCAGTGGTTCTCAACCTTCCTAATGCTGAGACCCCTTAATACAGTTCCTCATGTTGTGGTGACCCCCAAGCAGAAAATTATTTTTGCTGCTACTTCATAATTGAAATTTGGCTCCTGTTATGAATCGTCATGAAAATATCTGATATGCAGGATGTATTCTCATTCACTGGACCAAATTTGGCACAAATACCAAATACGCCCAAATTTGAATACTGGTGGGATGGGGGGTGGGTGGGTATTTTGTCATTTGGGAATTATAGTTGCTGGAGATTCCATCTGAACATGAGGAAGAACTTTCTGACTGTGAGAGCTGTTCAGCAGTGGAACTCTCTGCCCTGGAGTGTGGTGGAGGCTCCTTCTTTGGAAGCTTTTAAACAGAGGCTGGATGGCCATCTGTCAGGGGTGATTTGAATGCAATATTCCTGCTTCTTGGCAGAATGGGATTGGACTGGATGATGGCCCAGGAGGTCTCTTCCCACTCTTGGATTCTAGGATTCTTTGATTCTATGAATTCATAGTTCACCTACAATCAAAGAGCATTCAGAACTCCACCAATGATGGAATTGAATTAAACTTGGCATACAGAACTCCCACAACCAACAGAAAATACTGGAAAGGTTTGGTGCACATTGACCTTGAGTTTTGGAGTTGTAGTACACCTACATCCAGAGAGCACTAGAGACTCGAACAATGATGGCTCTGGACCAAACCCGGCACAAATACTCAATATACCGAACTGTAAACACTGGGGGAGTTTGGAGAAAATAGACCTTTGACATTTGGGAGTTGTCGTTGCTGGGATTTATAGTTCACTGACAATCAAAGAGTATTCTGAACCTCACCAATGATAGAATTGGGCCAAACTTCCCACACAGAACCCCCATGACCAACAGAAAGTACTGTGTTTTCTGATGGTCTTTGGTGACCCCTCTGACCTCACCAGCGACCCCCAGGTTGAGAAACGCTAGTGTATGATGGAGCCAAGGGCTTGGCGGCTGGATGGCCCTCTGTCAGAGGTGCTTTCATGGGATATTTCCTCCTGACAGAGGGTTGGATCGGCTGGCCCTGGCGATCTCTTCCAACGCTACAGTGACAAGGGCAGCTATGGCAAGACCCTGAAATGTAAAGATAAATCATTGAATAGTAAAGTTAGGTCACCCATGCAATCGTATTTCCTTGTGTGTGTGTGTGTGTGTGTGTGGTTGTGAAAGCTGGGCAGTGAAGAAAGCCAATGGGAAGACTCATTTGAAATATAAGGCTGGAGAAGAGTTTGTATGGGTACCATGGACAGCTGAAAAGATAAATAGAGCAAATCAAGCCTGAACTCTCCCTGGAAGCCAGTTGCACTTTGGCGATATCATTTTTTTCGTGTCAGGAGTGACTTGAGAAACTGCAAGTTGCTTCAGGTGTGAGAGACTTGGCCGTCTGAAGGATGTTGCCCAAGGGACGCCCAAGTGGTTTTGACGCTTTACCATCCTTGTGGGAGGCTTCTCTCATGTCCCAGCATGGGGAGCTAGAGCTGACAGAGGGAGCTCATCTGCGCTCTCCCCAGATTTGAACCTGTGACCTGTCGGTCTTCAGTCCTGATGCCGGCACAAGGGTTGAAGCCATGGCGCCACCGGGGGCTCCTGGCCACATCACGAGAACATGGCATTCCAGATGTCTCTATTCCCTTCAGGAGGCCACAGCAAGACCTGAGAGAGGACTTGGACGTCTGCCACTCATGAGGTCGCCATAAGTCAAAGCCAATTGGACTGCGGTCAGCAACAGCAACGACCTGCCTGCCACGTGTTCACTGCTGACTTTGCCTTGGGGGGAAATGTGCCAGATCTGAAGGATTCCTGACCTAGGTAACTCCACTTCTGTGTCCAGGTGGGCTTATTTGGTTTGTGGTGGTTGAAGGACGCGGAGCAGCGGCGACGTTAGTTTTGCAGTGTTACAACATGGGCATTTGGAGCTGTGGTGGTTACCCGGCACGACTCCGAGGCCACCTGGGTTGTATCTTGTTCAAAGCGAGGCCAGAGATAGGTATCAGAGTATCAGAGTATCAGAGTATGGCTTGCCCAGCGCTGGGACCCAACAGGTGCGGCCCAAGGACAGCGGGGACAACACCTGTTCTGGAAATTCTGCACAGCTGACCAGGTTGTTGATGCACCCAGTCCAAGGTGTTGTGCTTCCCTGTTGTGGCCCTGTTGTGGCCCGCTGGACTTTGGGAATCGTGAAGATTGTTTCCCTGTGAAAGGTTGCTCTCCTTTGATTGGAATCAGGAAAATTCTCAGCAATAAGCCCTCAGAATGCACTTCACGAATGGTTTGAGATTGACTGCGTTCCCTCATCTCTCTTTGAAAACCCTAAATCAGGTATATCCTACCTTGTTCATGCCCAGAGTTTATATTTTTTTTACTTTTTAAACTATTACATTTGCCCGGCCACAGGTTTTTAAATCCTTGTGTGTTATTGTTTATTGTTTATATGTGATTTATATTAATTGTATTTATTGTTTTTGTTTATTACTTTTGTTTATTGATGTACTGTTGGGCTTGGCCTCATGTAAGCCGCTCCGAGTCCCTTGTGGAGATGGTGGTGGCAGGGTATAAATAAAGCTATTATTATTATTATCATTATTATTATTAAGGTAAAAGTTTCCTTGACGTTAAGTCTAGTCGTGTCCTCTGGTGCTTGTCTCCATTTCTAAGCCAAAGAGCCGGCGTTGTCCGTAGACACCTCCAAAGTCATGAGCGCCATTGCATTCCAGCCAGAGTGGTATCTATTAATCTACTCACACTTGCATGTTTTCGAACTACTAGGATGGATGAAGCTGGGCCTAACAGTGGGAGCTCACCCCACTCCCTAGATTCAAACCGCCAACCATTCGGTCAGCTAGTTCACAGGTCAGCGGTATAACCCGCTGCGCTGCTGGGGGCTCCATTCAGTTGTTTACTAGTCTAATATTTACACCACAGCTCCCCTCGTTTCTCTCTGAAAAATCCTATCCCAGTCATATTCTACCTTGTTCACGTCGGCATATTTTCAATTTTAATCTATTACATTTGGCCCGGCCATTTTAGAAACTGTTTATATGTCACTATTGATTGTTGTTTTTTGTTTATGTGATTTATATGATTTGTATTTTATTGACTGTTTTATTAATGTTGTGTCATTGATGTTTTGTTTGAGGCACTTTGGGCTCGGCCTCATGCAAGCCGCACCGAGTCCCTTGGGGAGATGGTAGCGGGGTACAAATAAAGATTATTATATTATTATTACAAGCAATATCTTTTCATTTTAACTGTTTTGTGGGAAGTTTTCCTATAATGGGCTGTTCATGTTTAAATAATGATGGCAAATCTTGCAAAAAGTAGTTTCTTCTGTTCTCTGAAACTATGAAAACATGAACCTTGATATAAGTCAGGTAAAGGTTTCCCCTTGACATTAAGTCTAATCGTGTCTGAATCTGGGGGGTTGTGCTGATCTCCATTTCTAAGCCGAAGAGCCAGCATTGTCCGTAGACACCTCCAAGGTCATGTGGCCACTGGCATGACTGCACGGAGTGCCGTTACCTTCCCGCAGAAGCAGTACCTATTGATCTACCCACATTCATATGTTTTCAAACCGCTGGGTTGGCAGAAGCTGGACCTAACAGCGGGAGCTCACGCTGCTCCTCAGGTTCGAACCACCAACCTTTCGGTCAGCAAGTTCAGCAGCCCAGCGGTTTAACCCCTTGAGCCACCAGTGGCACTTTTATTTGATCTTGTCATGATGGGCTTCTGAGGTTCCATTTTGGTAAAGATTCCATCTTCTAAATAGAGATTATTCTCTGCCGTGGTCCCACAGGCAAGGTAAGAAGTTCATTATTGTTTTTCACGCCGTCTTTATGGAAACAGGTTCAAGGCAGATCTCCGGGAGTGATAACTTTTTGACAAATATTTTTATGGCCACCCAGCCTCCTACATTTCCTCTTCATCCTCTAGCTCAGGCATGGGCAAACTTTGGCCCCCCTCCCTCCCTCCCTCCCTGTGTTTTGGACTCCAACTCCCACCATTCCTAACAGCCTCAGGCCCTTTCCTTTTCCTCCTCAGCCGCTTAAGCGGGAGTTGCAGTCCAAAGCACCTGGAGGGAGGGCCAAAGTTGACCCACGCCTTCTCTAGATAGAAATGCCCAGCAGCATCAGATTTGGGAGAATTGCGAAGAAGGCCTGAATCCAGTTAGCGTTCGTAATGATTAAGATAAATTAAAAACAAAGGAACATGACTGACTCATCTTGGCATCCAAGAAACCTGTATGGAGGAAGAACACGTTCGCGTCTGCATTGGATCCATGGCACAGTCAGCCTTTCATAGAACATTGATACAATAGGAAGCATTTCTGAATGCACCAAATCACAGAGCGTGAGCACCCCACAAACCCCATCCCTCCCTCCCTCCAACCCCCAGGCGTGGGCGATGTATCCTGAACCGTCTCTCTGATTTCTAGCCCTCCCAAATTCAAGAGGGCAGGCTCTCACTCCCGCCTCAGAGGTCAAGACGAAGAGACCACCTGGCCGGCGGCCTGAGGGCGGCCTTGTAGGCGAGCTCAGGCGCACTTGGATCTGCCCAGACAGAAGGGCGGCTCCGGAGCAGGAACCAGGATGTTGCTGAAAACGGGATCGTAGTTCTCCGGCAGGACTTGGGGATTTTGCGCCATGACCTCCAGCACGTTGTTATGGGTTTCTTTGGAGATGTCTCCGCGCAAATCTAGGAGCATGGAAATGTGATCATCGCTGGAGAAACGAGAGGAAGGAAACCCACCACATGTTTATTAATTTACAGTATTTACACCCTGCCCTTCTCACCCCGAAGGGGACTCAGAGCGGCTTACAGAACACGCATACGGCAAACATTCAATCCCAATTATACAATTAACGGGACAAGTAACACAACACAGAGGTAAAGGCAGTTTCCTCATCTTATTTCCGGCTGTGGCCACGGTGTGTGTGTGTGTGTGTGTGTGTGCTGTTGCGCCATCGTCCATGCCGAGGAGCTTTTCCTCCAATGGATGTCCTTTCTAATGGCACCTTTTTATTACCTGCCAACTAAAAGCGGTAACTATTTTATCTCCTTGTATTTCTGCTTTCGACCTGCAGCTAGGTGGATGGGTGAGCTGGGGCTAAGGGCAGGATTTTTTCTGCAGCACAGCTGTTTAGCCTCCTGTGCTGGGCCCAGCACGTTTTGGCTTCTAGTTGCCAGGACTGTCCCAAGGCATTTTGTTGTCGTGACATGTCCCCTTCCCCAGGCACCCTTCCCCACTGGGATGGCATGCCTGAGCCTTTGGGGAAACTGCCTGGCTTTACTCGGGGGCTATCTGATACCTTCTGTTAAGATTTTTGACAGAGAGGCACTTTAGACAAGGTGAAAAGATAACCAAATGAGTTTACTGCAAGCAAGATGAATAAAGGGTTAACTCCACCTGGGACTATCATAAGGTAACTTAAAACAATACATTACAAAGGGAGAATTTGCTGGCTGCAGTAATCTTCTGATGCAAAGCTATTGATTATAAGTTGTTGCTTACAAACTGTCTTAATCTTCTCTCCTGTGAAGCTTAGGTTGTTGTGAACAAGATCTTGGGAGCAGTGAGGGCGACCACGTCAGCTCAACACTTTCGATAACAGTATCCCCCAGCCCCTCTTTACTTGATTTTTGCACTTTCCTTGGGCTCCCTTCAGGATTTATTGCACTCATTGAGCCTGAATCTCAGCTATGTTCCTTTATTTCAGCCATATTGTTTTTGGTGTTGTTTATGATTGTGTTTGCTTGATATCTTATCTGATGATTTTAATTGTCTGTATTTTATTTGTAATTTTTTGGGCTTGTCCCATGTAAGCCACCCCAAGTCCCCTAAGAGAGATGGTTGGCAGGGGTATAAAAATAAAGTTATTATAATATTATTATTATTGTCCTTTGGACTGTTGGTATAATAATACTGCTAAATGCAGCCGGTGCTATGGAATAGACCAACTAAGACTGGCCTCGGGGGGGGGGGGGGATTTTAAGCTCCACCCAAAAACGAATACAAAGGAAGGTGTCTACACTATCGGGAAGGCCTATGAACAAGGGGAACTGAAGCAGAGGAGAAGGCAGGGCTAAGACTTTAGGACAGTGGTTCTCAACCCTCCTAATGCCGTGACCCCTCAATACACTTCCTCATGTCATGGTGACCCCCAACCATAACATGATTTTCATTGCTACTTCCTAACTGTGATGTTGCTACTGTTATGAATCGTAATGTAAATATCTGACATGCAGGATGTATTCCCATTCACTGGACCAAATTTGGGGCAAATATCCGATACGCCCAAATCTGAATACTGGTGGGGTTGGGGGAGGATTGATTTTGTCATTTGGGAGCTGTAGTTGCTGGGATTTATAGTTCACCTACAATCAAAGAGCATTATGAACTCCACCAATGATGGAATAGAAGCAATCTTGGCACACAGAACTCCCATAACCAACTGAAAATACTGGAAGGTTTTGGTGGGCATTGACCTTGAGTTTGGGAGTTGTAGTTCACCTACATCCAGAGAGCACTGTAGACTCAAATAATGATGGATCTGGACCAAACTTCACCTGAATACTCAATATGCTCAAATGTGAACACAGGTGGAGTTTGGGGAAATACACCTTGACATTTTGGAGTTGTAGTTACTGGGAATTATAGTTCACCTAAAATCAAAGAGCATTCTGAACCTCACCAAAGAAGGAATTGGGCCAACATTCCCACATAGAATCCTCATGACCAACAGACAGTACTGTGTTTTCTGATGGTCTTTGGTGACCCCTCTGACAACCCCTTGTGACCCCTCCAGGGGTCCCGACCCCCAGGTTGAGAAACACTGCTTTAGGACCACCATATGAGAGGGCAGTAGTCCAGTTTCAGAAAACAAGGCATGCACAGATCTAACTTCCAACAGAGTGGAGTGGATTGTACGGCAATGTAATGGCAGCATCCCAGCCTCCACGAACCAGAGATGGCTGCCTCGCTGCACTTAAGGATAGGGCTGGCCCTCTATTCAGCCAGTGGCGAAAAGAGTGTGCAGATCAATGGAACGGCACACTCTCTAGGATGACCTTCTCACCATTCAGTTGGGAATGAGAGTACTAGAAGGTGGACTGTCCCAACCACAGCCAAGAGGACAGAAGAGTCTGGAGACCAGATGTCACGCTCTCTCTCTCTCCAGTAGCTTGTACTTGTGATGGATCAGGCAGAGCAATAGAGACAAAGGTTTGCTCCAGGCACTGTCAGGCCATTATATGCTAATCAAGGTGGTCAGTTGAAACATTCCCACCTAGCTCCAGCAGACAAGAGTCCTTTGTCCCACCCTGGTCATTCCACAGATATATAAACCCATTTTCCTAGTTCCAACAGACCTCACTACCTCTGAGGATGCTTGCCATAGATGCAGGAGAAACGTCAGGAGAGAATGCCTCTAGAACATGGCCATATAGCCCGGAAAAACCTACAACAACCCAATAAAGACGTGTTCGCAAATGCTGAGGACATTGTTTTGTTGTGTCAACTGGAAATTCTAAGCTGGACTATGATGATACACTGTACTGAATTTCAGGTTCATTGATTATTGGTTACATTCGCTCTTGTCAAAACTTAAAAACCCTAGTTGAGAAAGTGCTGAGGACGGAGCGGTGTGTGCCACGAGTCTGCCCAGCGAAAGAGGAATGGTCTTTGCGCTGACCTCTTGCCATTGCCTGGCAGGCTCATGAACACAGGAAGCCTCCTTCCAAGAGGCCTGGCAAGTGGTCCATCCAACCTACTCTTTCTACTGGGTTGGGTGGCCCACTTGCCTGGCAGTCGTTCTCTGGGATTTCGGGCATAAATCTTCCAAACTCCACCTGGAAATGCCAGGGATTGAGCTTGTGGTTTTGCCAGAGCAGTCAGTGACGCTCTGCAACTCAGCTACAGGCCCTACACAGCTTCCTTCTGAACTTGTAAAGAGTATATTCACCCTTGATAGAGATAATAATTGAATGCGACTTGCCCTGGTATGCCTGTAAGTACTGATCTCCCAAATTAAAGGGACTTGCTCCCTCTTCCTTAGCACAACCTTTCAGGTATTGAAACATGGCCTGTGTTGTCTGCATGCCTCACCTGACGTCGGGGTATTTGGATACAAATCCCAGCACTTCCAAAATAAGGATGCTGTGGTCTTTGAGACTGATGAGCTCCTGAAGGTCAGCAATCACTGTGAAGGTCTGCTTGTCCTCCTCCAGGCCCTGGAGAAAGAAGGGAGGGAGGGAGGGAGGGAGGAAACATGGTGCGGGGTGGACTAGATGGCCCACGGGGTCCCTTCCCACTCTGTTATTCTATGATTCTGTGCTGAAATAAAGCAATACAGGCCACCCCCAAGTTAGGAACAAAATAGGTTCTGTAGGTTTGTTCTTAAGTTGAATTTGTATGTAAGTTGGATAGCTAGACAGAGAGATAGATAGATAGATAGATAGACAGACAGACAGACAGACAGACAGACAGACAGACAGACAGAGATAGATAGATAGATAGATAGATAGATAGATAGATAGATAGATGGATGGGTGGACACCCCTGTGGTGTTTGTTTTGCTGCCTGTGCCCCTGTTCAAGGGTTTCTCCTCACTTTCTGTCACTGTGATAATTGGATTTTGAAAAATTTGGCTTGTTGTGGAAACAAAGATTGGTGAGAAAACGTCAGTTGAAGCCTCCTTCCCCATAACAACTCTTTCAGGAGTGAACTGCTACTTGGTGAGTATAGTTGTTGACCTTTCCTCAGTGGTCGCTAGGGCTTGCGATGGCTAACTCCTTCACAAGTTTTGCCTTCTCACCAAGTTGCAGAAGAGCTCCTTGAACTGGGAGGCATCCTGCAACATCCGGCCGGCCATCTGCCTCCTCTCCTCCATGCGCTGGCACACCATGCGCTTCTGCAAGAAGGTCCTGAGGTACTGGCTCCGGATCAGATGCTCTGTCTCTGACAGAAGGTACTGGACACAAAGGAGAGGGGTAAAGGCACCGCCATTTGAAAACAGAAGGTATGCTCATATAGAAATGTAGTGTGCATGCACATGTGCACATGCACCCACACTATTGGAACTGGACCTCTCTTCAAGAACCAGACGTATGCCTCTTAAACTTCTAAGGCAGTGCTTTCCAACACAGCACTATCTATCTCGGTGCTGTATTGGAAAGTATGCTGCCAGTATGTAAACAAGAGCAAACCACAGACCACCTGCTGCAATGCCTGTTGTCAGTCTGATAGCGGCGGATCGGCGCTTCTGGTACTTCTCGATCTTACCGCAGCGTTTGACACCATTGACTACAATTTAATGATCCACCGTCTCGTCATGTCCGAGGTTCGTGGTCAGGCCCTCAATTGGTTCAATTCATTCCTCCGAAACCGGAGTCAGTGCGTGGAATATATGGACCAAGTCTCCGAAAGTTCCCCCCTCCTATGTGGGGTCCCCCAAGGTGCAATTCTCTCCCCTCTTCTTTTCAACATCTACGTGAGACCCCTTGCCAGTTTGGCTCGGAGATTTGGCCTGGACTGCTATCAATATGCGGACGACACCCAACTCCTCCTGCGCTTGGAGCCTGGAGTAACGTCAATACCTGACAATTTCCCCTTATGCCTGGAGGCTCTGTCGAACTGGCTACGTGCTAGCAGACTGAAGGTGAATCCGGCGAAGACTGAGATCCTGTGGCATGGCTGCCCGAGAGGTCCGACCCATCCGTTACCTGCCTTTGATGGCGCTGCTCTCTCTCCATCGCCTACCGTTAAGAGCCGAGGTGTCGTTTTGGATTCGCAGCTGACGATGGAGGCTCAGGTCGTGCTGCCAGCAAAGAGGCCTTTTTCCATCTACGACAAGCGAGGCAACTGGCACCTTACCTGTCGGATGAGGCTCTGGCAACAGTCCTCCATGCCACGGTCACATCTAGGCTGGACTACTGTAACGCCTTGTATGTTGGCCTTCCTATTTCTACGACCGAAAGCTCCGTATTGTCCAGAATGCTGCAGCCAGGTTACTCACAAAAACACCCATGAAATGCCATAGAACACCAGTGCTGCGGCATCTACACTGGCTCCCAATTGAGCATTGTGGTTTGTATCAGATGCTGGTCCTGACCTTTAAAACTCTATATGGCCAGGGATGTCCATTGTATCTTAGAGACCTCCGTCTCTCCTTCTCCCATCATCGGAGGTCGCCACGACCATCCCAACGCGATTGGCTCTCTATGCCGGGTCCGAGGGAAGTGCCCTTGGAGAGCACCAGGCGCAGGTGGGCCTTCTCTGTCCCTGCCCCTCCTGCCTGATGGTGGGATTCCTTATGGCCTCCCTCTTTGGGATGAGCCATGCGGGACTCGGGGCATTTTATCCTCCCAGCACTTAAGACACCTGGCTTTTTACTAGATGAGCATTTGACCCATGTTCATTTTAATATTTGTATGTATGTGTTTTATCCTGTATAATTTCTGCAATGTAAATCGCCTGGAGCATCTCGGATGGAGGGCGATTAATAAGTAATTAAAGATGAAAGCAAGATGATGATGACATGCCCAATGGAGGACCTTCTACAGCAACACCAGAGGCACTCCAAGTGGCCAGATACTGGTCAAAGAACATTTAGTAGAAGGCCAAGTTTTTCAACTTTGTTTGTGCTCTTAAATACATTACAACTGCACCCTCCATTCGCTTCTGAAACTAGGGTTACATAGCTTTCCCAGTAAAAAAGAGGCTGAAAATGTCCAATGCCCTGACTCTAATCAACCAACCAAAACTCACCCAGGACTTTCAACTCAGTTGCACAACAGCATGGACCCTGGAATAGGTTGGGGCGGGGGGTGTCTTGTGCCCCGTCCAGTACTGGGTTGAGATCACGGATCTGGCCAAACAGGGCCACCAAGACTCTTTAGCAGGCATGGGCAAACTTTGGCCCTCCAGGTGTTTTGGACTTCAACTCCCACAATTCCTAACAGCCTACTCTGTTAGGAATTGTGGGAGTTGAAGTCCAAAGCACCTGGAGGGCTGAAGTTTGCCCATGCCTGCTCGTTACGTATTTAAGCCTCCTCATAGAATCATAGAATCATTGAGTTGGAAGAGACCTGGTGGGCCATCATCCAGTCCAACCCCATTCTGCCAAGAAGCAGGAAAAATCGCATTCAAAGCACCCCCGACAGATGGCCATCCAGCCTCTGTTTAAAAGCCTCCAAAGAAGGAGCCTCCACCACACTCTGGGGCAGAGAGTTCCACTGCTAAACAGCTTTCACAGTAAGGAAGTTCTTCCTAATGTTCAGGTGGAATCTCCTATGCCATTTTCAAAAACTGCAATTCATGTCATGCTGGAAACACAAAATATGTTGTTTTGCTTCCTAGGGCCAGGCTTTGGCACAGCAGGTTAACCACCAGCTGCAATACATCTTGCCAATCGAAAGGTTGGCAGTTCAAAGCCCGGACTGGGGTTGAGCGCCCGACCTTCAGCCCAGCTCACTGCCCACCTAGCAGAGCAAAACAGCTGTGAGGAGATAAATTGGTACCGCTTAAGTGGGGAGTTATTTTAATGGCACCATAAGGAAATGCCAGAAAATTGCCGGCAAATCGATCAAAATGAGGAAGTCTGTGAGCAGGGCTCTTTGGCACGGAAGGTGGAACGACAGCACCCCCTTGTGGCCAGAATCGAGCACAACCTCCAAGATGCTGAAGATGGAAAAAGCCTATATATACCTCTATCTGTGTACTGCGTCTGTCCTCTCAGTGTATAGTGGCATTGAATGTTTCTCATATATATGTTCTGTGATCCACCATGAGTCCCCTTCAGGGTGGAAAGGGCAGAGTATAAATATTGTAAATAAATAAATAAACAAACACAAGTTTATAAATAAGTAAATAAATAAATCATCATCATCATCATTTAATTACTTATTAATCGCCCTCCATCCAAGATGCTCTAGGCGATTTACAAGCTAAATTGTAAAGGATAAAAATATATACTTACAGATATTGGTAAAATTAACATAGATCAAAAGCTGTAGTAAAAAGCCAGGTCTTAAGTGCTAGGGTAAAAGGCCCCAACTCACACATGGCTCACCTCATATAGGGCGGCAAGGAATCCCATAAATAAATAAAAACATAATAAATAAAAACATAATGCTTGAGTCCCAACACGCGGAACTCCACTGGGGAGGTGAGGAATGCCCATCCCATTACTAATCCAAAGTGTTTTACATGACCAAGCACTTAGAAATATGAAGGCACTGACTGATGCTGAACTTTTCCAGGAATAATAATAAGGTTTGCTCTATGTCCTCACATTGAAGTCAGCTGCACTGAACACATAGAGAGCTCTTCTAAGCAGGCACTTGTAAGAATCTTCCCAATTAGGGATCCCCAGGATGATAATGGATGAGAAAAGGAATGGCACGCTCCCTGCAAGCGCTGCAAGGAGGCCAAACCACTCACCTGGCTGGCAAGGCTGGACCTGCCCAGGACCCAGTTGGAGAGGGATCTTACCGTGCTGATTGGCTCTCGAGTTCTGCAGAAGTGTTTTGCGTGTTTCTCGATCACCGTGCAGATGCAGCTTATCAATTGGGATTCCTCAGACAACCACTGATGGGATGGGAGCTGTTTGAACAGAGGCTGAGATGGAATAACGGAATGAGCCATTTCTTTTAGAAATGTACATCTTGTATGGCATATATGAGTCCTAGGGCTCGGCGGTGTCGTTTCATTAATTCGCAATTCGTTAAAAATTCGTTATTTTTTTGTTAACGAAGCGATAACGAACCATTCTGGAGCAACTTAAAAATGAAACGAATTTTTCAATTCGTTTCGTAAATGCTTCGTATTTCGTTATGTATTCGTTTCGTTATTGGTTTGAGGTCGTTTCGTTATTATTTCCGCATGTCTGGGGCAAGTTTTATAGTTGTTTTTTGTTTAATTAGTGAAAAAAAATTATAATATCACACCAACAGTCAACAACAGAGGGAGAGGGAAGCTTCAGAAGTTCCCCCTGTCCCATTTGGAGGGTTTTTAGCGTATTGCGCGGTCGCGTCCGCCATTAACGAATCGATTCGTTATTGTTTCATTATTGTTTCGTTATTGTTTTGTAATTTTTTTACCATTTACGAAATTTTGTAAATATCAAACTTTTTTTAAAAAAAAATTCAGAATTCTTTTAAATATCGAAACGCAAAAAACCCCAAAAAACGAATCGATTTTAGAAACAAATTTTTCCGTTGTTACCCAGGCCTAATGAGTCCACACTGACCATAAACAGCAATGAGAGCAGATGGATAGGAACCACCTTAAGCGGGGAGGTATTTTAGGCGTGGCGCTTTGGAGGAAAGTTTTCGAGCAAAGACCGCTCTTCAGCAAAGAGGTGGAGCAACAGCGCCCCCCTGGGGCTGGAACCGGGCACAGAACCCAAGGCCTCCAAAGATGATGAAAGATGAGAAAAAGCCAATATATCTGTCTTGTCATTGTATAATCGGCATTGAATGTTTGCCATATATGTCTGTTTGTTTGTTTACAGTATTTATATTCCGCCTTTCTCACCCCGCAGGGGACTCAGGGAGGATTACAATGCACATATACATTATTTATTTACTGTATTTGTATACCGCCCCGCTCAGCCTTCCGGTGACTTGAGATAGTTTACAAGGCAAAATTCAATGTCACCAAAAACACACTTACAATATAAAAACGTTAACATCAATAAAATGATATCAATTGTAATAAAACATAATTCAATAAATACTCATTAAAACAATGTTCTATCCCATCATGTATATACATGGCAAGCATTCAGTGCCGTAGACATACAACATATATAGTCAGACACAGAGGCAATTTAACATTCGGGCTTTCCGGCTTCATGAGAGCGATTCTGGCCATTCCAGTGATTCTGGCCACAGGGGGAGCTGCCGTTTCACCATCCACTCATGACACCGATTCCTTGATGGAGTACTTCCTCATTCTTATGCATGCTGCTGGAAGGTTTAATGGTGACAAAAATAAGTTAAATTAGCCTCCCCACATAAAGTGGTACCTAAATTTCCTACTTGACAGATGCAACTGTCTTTCGGGCTGCATAGGTCAACAGCAAGCTAGACTATTAATCGTTGAACGCTTACTCCGACCCAGGCTGACTTTGAACTCTTGGTCAGTAGTGATTTAATGCAGCTGGCTACTAACTAGCTGTGCCACAGCCTGGAATATGTGTTCTGTGATCTGCCCTGAGTCCCCTTCGAGGTGAGAAGGATGGAATATAAGTACTGTAAATAAATAGATAGATAGATAGATAGATAGATAGATAGATAGACAAATAAATTGAAGATAGCCCTTCCCACTGTTGGCATGCAATGTCACCCGTAACATCCCAGTCCCGGGGCAACACATCTCTCAGACTAAAAGTGATTCTTCTCGATCGCTATGAATGACTGATCACAGAGGTGGGAAACGCTGGCCCATTTTTCTTGTCCTGGGTACCTTGAGTTCTGCCAGCATCTCCTTCAGGAGCAGGCGGCAAACCTTCTTTTGTGCTTTCTCCAGAGCCAGGTCCAAGGACAGCGGCACCTTCGGAGGCTCCGTGGGGGACCCCCCACCTGAAGGCAGGCTTGAGAGGGAAGCGCTGCCGGTGGAGAGAGGAAGAACAGCGAGGAGACAGGAATCTGGCAGACCGGCCGCAAGGAGAGGCCGTGCAAGCGGAGGGGCCAATCCCAGCCTTTGAAATACCTGAGAGCCAGACAGTTGTTGAGGGCTGACAGCAAGTATTGAGTATAGCGTTTGGATGCCTTGGGCTCTTGTTCATGTTTCGTGGCAAATTCCACCAGGTCCTCATACAAGCTGCAGGGAAATACATCAAGATCATAAAGAAACATGCAAGAAACAGGAGCAGATTATAGGAGCTGTCTTCATAGACCTGTCAGCAGCTTATGGTACTGTAAATTATCACCTTCTCCTGAGGGGAAAAAAATGTGATATTACAAAGAACTACCACCGCACTCACTTCATAGGAAACCTGCTACAAAACAGGAGCTTTTTTGTTGAGTTCCAGGGCCAGGGAAGCAGGTGGCGGAAACAGAAGAACGGCCTGCCTCAGGGGAGCGTGCTTGCTCCATCCATGTTTAACACTCAGCCACTGCAAGAAGGGACAGAGAGTTTCATCTATGCTGACGATCGTGCCATTACCATCCAAGCAGGGAGCTTTGAAATGGTTGAAGAGAGGCTCTTCGAAGCTTGAGGTGCTCTTACTGCCTATTCCAGGGGAAACCAGCTGATTCCTAATCCATCTAAAATGCAGACGTGTGCTTTTAACCTTAAGAACAGACAAGCACCTCGAGGTCTGAGGACGACCTGGGAAGGAATCCCACTGGAGCATTGCAGCACACCCAAATCCCTGGGAGTCACCTTCGACCGTGCTCTGACTTACAAGAAGCACTGATTGAATGTCAAGCGAAAGCGTACTGGCACAACCTTGGGATCACAACCAGACACAGACATCTGCCTTTGTGCTTTGCTACTCTGCTGCTGAATACATATTATGCCCGGTGTGGAACACATCTCACCAGGTTAAAACAGTGGATGTGGCTCTTCATGAGACATGCCACATGATCATAGGATGTCTACGCCCTAGGCCACTGGAGAAATTATACTGTTTAGTCAGTATTGCACCACCTGACATCAGCTGGGCAATAGCAGGCAATAATGAAAGGACCAAGGCAGTAACATCTCTGGTCCATCCCCTGTTTGAATATCCAACGCCTCAAATCAAGAAATAGTTTTCTAAGATCTACAGAGATACAGGAACACCTCAGCAAGCAAGAGTCCAAAAGTGGCAGGTAAAAACCTGGAACCTCAATCCATGGCTGAGACCGAATGAGAGACTCCCTCTTGGGCACCCAGAATGCTGAACAGACTGCGCTCGGGACCTCAAGATGCAGAGCCAATCTTAAGAAATTGGGCTCCTACGTCACATTGTTGATGTGTATTCAGCGTGTGGTCTCCTGCTTCTTGGCCTTTTTGCTAAGATCAAGTGTAGCTTGTGATCTGCTTAAACAACTAGATCCCTTTCGCATGTTGTATTTTGAAGCCAGGTGTCATATATCGCATATATGTGAATTTCTTTTTCTACTTAAGTGTTGTATCTTATATTTCTCCCTCTTGAAATTCATCTTGTTAGTTTTGGCCCAGCTGTCTAGTCAGCTAAGGCCAATTTGGACCCTAACCCTGTCTTCCGGGTGTATTAGGTATCCCTCCCAATAGGGTGTCAATTGCTCACTTGATCAGCATGCCCTCTATTCCATCACCCAAATTATTGACAAAGATTTCACATAGCACTGGGCCCCGGACAAAACCGTGCGGCATTCCACTACATCAGTTGTTCTCAACCTTTGGTCCTCCAGGTGTTTTGGATTTCAACTCCCAGAAATCCCAGCCAGCTAACAAGAAGTCCAAAACACATCGAGAACCAAAGGTTGGGAACCACTGCACTCGATCCTTCTCTCCAGTTTGAAGAGGAGCCGCTGGTGAGCACCCTTCAGGTTCAAGCGGTCAAATTTGCCGAACCGTAGCATTGTCTATCCCACATTTTGCGAGCTTCTTGGCAAGCATTTCATAGGGACCTTGTGGGAAGCTCCCCAACATCAAGACATGCTTCTTTTTAGTAGAGTTCCTTTTCAAAAGCAACATTCCATGTTCTGAACCTCTGGAGCTATAAAAGACACCTCGAATGTTACAGTTACACTGCAACTGTAATGTAGTATTTTTATATCTTAGTTTGTTGTTGTTGTTCATTCGTTCAGTCGTTTCCGACTCTTTGTGACTTCATGGACCAGTCCATGCCAGTTACTGGGAAACAAATTAATTTCAAATACTGGTAAGCAGTTCTTTGTGTCCAGTTACTGTCAAGCACTGTCCTACCCTGCCTCTGCCCTCTCGCTCTACATAGGATGGGGAGATCTGACCTGCCCAAAAAGCTCTCCAGTTCTCCCAGAGTCATCTTGCACATCTTCTCCCGGAGAGTGTCAGAGATAAGGGATGCTATCTGGATGTTTTCATCCAACATCTGAGGGAAACATAGAAAAGAAATTCAAAAATTTGTGTGAGTGAGGGGGATCAAATTCATACTTTGCTTGAAGAATATGTGGTCTGGAAATTGGACAGCCCTCCTTTTGTATTGTGGGGTTGGGGGTTCATCTCCTACAGGGCATGTTTTGACCTTCATGATAATATTTGGTAGACTGGTCTGGAAGCAGCCTTGATAGTCGCATTCCGGTTCCTCTTCACTGAACCACTCTTTAAACTCCAGAGCCAGGGTTTTCTGCATCCATTCAGAAATACTGGCCTAGAAGAACAAACAGGATACTACAGGGCTTCGTAAAACACACTTGCGTCAAACTCAAGCTCATGTATTCCCTTCAGAGGTGCCAAGAGGCAGACTGCCTGGAATTCCTTACTCCCAAAGACTATGCCCCTGTGAAGGAAATGAAGTCGAAACAAGAGAACACATTTTATTGCAGTGCCATTCTTATACAGGGCAATGCCACCAACTTTTATATCCACTGTTGTCCCTCATCGCCAGATATCCCTAATAGCTAGAGGGCTGTTAGGAATTGTGAAGTTTGCCCATGCCTGTGTTAGACATTGAGTTCTTCAGGAAATCTAAGTAAATCGAAAAGCACTGCTGTCCACGGCCATTTCGATGGGAAGAATCTTAACCCTGGCCCTCCCACTCACCTGTACTTTCTCCAGGTAAGTGTCCTCCAAATATTCTATTCTATCCAAAGGAAGTAAAGGGCCCAACACTGAGGTGTCTGCTTCAGGGAGAAGCTCTGGGTGAGCCATCATTTCTGAGCTGTGGAAAGACAATCAGACGAAAGAGCAAAACATATAAAAGTTTCCACCAAGGCTTCACAGGATACCTAGTTGTTCAACTGCATCAACGGCAGGTTTATATGTGCATATACAACCTCGGTAATTAATAATTAACATTAATTAATAATTCACATTAGCATAATTAACAATCCAGGCTAGGTTCTGAGAGAATAGGGACCTGGAACACAATAGACAAGTCTAAGAACTATATTTTGTTTCCAAATCTGTCTAACTAAGATGGAGGGTTGGTCCTATCACTACGCAGAGTAATGCAGTGGCTGTGGGTGACAAATACTGCCTGAAATTCCGTCAGGGATGTCTGCACAACTAAGAGTTCCTAACATGTGTGGATATCCTTTTTCAAGTGCTGCAGAGTTGGTGTTCCCTTTTCACACCAGCTCCTGCATGGACAATAGCAAAGGAAATTCCTATTTATTTTCAGAGTTAGGCTGATAGATAGGAATCTCCTCCAGTCAGTTTTTATTGATTGAAACAATAAGGGCAAGACTGCCCACAGGGGGGTCTTCTGCCCAGCTCCGTTTTGCCTCACCCAAGACACATCACCAACACATCTTATCAGATCGGGGACAGGAAAACTCATCTTAAATCAATCAACTTCTCATTATCAAGACAATCCCCCAACTGGCCGACTCTCCGGACGCAGGGACACATAGGTTTCAGGAATGTCATAATCCTATCATCCCCCATTGTCTCTGATCATCCCACCTCCTCTTCCCTGATTCATCAATTCCCCGAAGCGGGGAAAGCGTCATGATAGGCTCCCCTGAAGCGGGGAAGCCTCGTGATTGGCCCAGGCTGGGGGCGGGCTGCCAAGCCTCCTCCCAGCTGTTCGGCCACCAGCCAATCACCATCCAAACCGGGCGGGGAAGGGAGGGCGGGAATTTTGAAATCTCTGTACATGTTTTTCCTATAAAAATGCTTGCAAACTTTATAATGGCATGCTTGTGTGTGAGCTATCACTACAATTGCATCCGCTTCAGCTGAATCGCTCCAATAAATGCCTCGGTCGCCGCTTCTTCCGCTTTGGTGAGAAAATCATTATTTTTATTATTTTAATATTACTGAAATTCGTCTTCTCTGTCCTCGCCAAAGTTGCGGGCCCTCTTTGGTGCGGTCCTAGGGGTCTCTCTTACTGGGGAGACCCTCCTAAAGTCTAGATTGACTTCAGACTCCAATCAAGGAAAAGCTTCATGAGAACCACCACTCCTCTTCACGTCCCCCAGCAACAGCAAGAGTATCGTTCTGGGCAACTAAACCAGGAAATCCCAACTGGATGGCCCCCCGCAAAGGAGGGTCTGCTTCCAGGGGCAAAGCAAGGATGGGCAACTTGGAAGTCCCTGAACAGACTCAGAAGTGGAGCAGGCAGATCAAAAGGGAACCTGACTAAATGGCACGACCTTGAAGAGTCCTCCACCTTGTGCCACTGTGGAGCAGAACAAACGACTCAGCACCTGTATGCTTGTCCACAATGCTCTGACTCATGGACAGAGGAAGAATTATTTAAAGCTACAGACAATGTGGTCGCTGTTGTCCGTTTTTGGTCTCAAAATATTTAGCTGCTTGTGCTCCTTCTATTTTTATCAGTCTTATATTTATTTATGCAATGCTTTTGATAGAAAATAAATAAATAAATAACCTCAATTTCTATCTGTTTGATAATAGGATTGTTGTGGAAACAAGTATTGGAAAGAAAGCTTCAGCGGGGACTCCTTTTTTCTTTGATAACCCTTTCAGGGCTGAATTTCACTTCCGAGGGGTAGATTTCTCTCACTTCCTGTTGTCTCACCTCCGTTCCTAATTATGAGTCATTTGAGCATCAGATGTTTGTAACTTGGAGACTGCCTGTCCTGAGGGGATGTTGGACTGAGGTCACTCGCAGGAACGGAGCATTGGCAAAGAGTTGGAAGAAGGTCAGGGAGTCATGCAGTGTGTCATGTATCATCTGAACCAGGCTATTCCGTGGAGGAGACTAGCTACTTCTCCCACCATGATTCAGAGTTCTGCCACTGGCTAAACTCCATCTTTCTTTCCTGGAAAGGTGTCACAGGCTGGCACCCAATGGTCTGTGGACCAGGACAGATCCAAGAACCACCGTATTGGATGGCATTACCTCCCTTCTGTCCTTTAGAAGACAACTGAGGACTTGGCTTTGTGACCAGGCATTGGATTAGTGGACAGCGGCAACTGGCAAGAAAACAGGATATCTGCGACATTGGATTTACTCTGATTTGAACTTGGCTTTTAATTGGCATTTTAATGTATTGTTTAATGAATTTGTATAATGTTTTTATTGATTTTTACTGTTTTAAATGTAATTTTTGATTGTTTATATGCTGATAGCATCATACGATGCTTGAGTGAGGCCGCCCCGAGTCCCGGACGAGAAGGGCGGGGTAGAAATGCATGAAATAAATAAATAAGTAAATAAATATTCTAAATCAGCCTGGCGTCTTCATGTAGATGGAGAAGGCTGACCATGTTTGGAAGATATTCATCTGGCAATTCAGTTGGCTTCTGTGAGTGGAAGAGAAAAGGGATATTGTATTGTCTTCAGTCTAGGGCAGCCATGGACAAACTTCAGCCCTCCAGGTGTTTTGGACTTCAATTCCCACAATTCCTAATAGCCGGTAGGCTGTTAGGAATTGTGGGAGTTGAAGTCCAAAACACCTGGAGGGCCAAAGTTTGCCCATGGCTGGTCTAGAGTATTACATGCATGAGTCTAGTCCTGCCAAGCTGAGATATAGAAATACAGCTGACTTTACTATCTGGACAGATGTTTAGAGCCCATAAGGAGATCCCATATAGCCAACTCCAAATATACACAGGGGACTTTCCTTGCAGCTACTCCATATTTGTGGAGTTATAGGAGAGGTCTCCTATGGCATAAATACAGCTGCTGGGTGGATCTAAGACCCGGCACTACAAGGATACTCTTTCCCTGAGGCCCGCAACCACCAGCTGTGGTACTGACCTTGGATACACATGGAGAACCCAGTGGAGAAGAGCAAAGATCTCCTGCTTGTCCAGATCCCAAGTAAGGAGGTGATGAAGTTGGTTGGCAAGGCTTTGGTGATACATGGTAACAAAGGTCATGAAGATGTTATAATGAGGAGGGCAGCACTGGACCATCAGATCCTTCACGATGTGCAGCTCTGCCAGGATGCTGCTCTGCAAGGAGGCCAAGTATTCCCTAGTGAGGTGGTGGTCTTGGATGCTGCTTGGCACGGCCTTGAAGTGTGCAGCCACAATCGAGTCCTGAATCACCTGGAAGAACTTCTGTCTCCAGCACTTTGGGCGCCCGGGTGGAAGGAAACCAGGAGGCTGGGCTGTTTGGAGCAGGGCAGCATCAATGCCCTCTTCTCGTTCAATTATCCTCAGAGCAGATACAAAGACAGCAGGGTCTTCAGTCACCAGCTTCGTGCCCTGACCCACAATGTGCCACAAATGCTGGGCCAGAGCATCATTCAGTTCCGACAGGCGCCCAAAGTAGGACTGTACACTGGCCAGGTGTACAGGGCTGAGCAGGTTGCAGTTATGCAGCTGGAAGAGGATGTCTCCTTGTAAACTCTCCAGCTCCATGAGCCTGGCATGGGCCTCCAGGAGATGCTCACTCCGGAGAAGATCCAGGGACTCCGAAAAAAGTCGAGGTACTATGGGATTGAGGGGAGAGGTTGGGAGAAAAAGGTAGAAGACATTTAGGGTTCCACAGTCTAGGGAGTCTAGGGAGAAGGAAAAGGGAGAGCCAGTGCACTGTATGGGCGACAGAGCTGGACTGCAACTGGAAGAGCTAGATTCAAGTTCCACAGCAGCCAAGGAAGCTCTCGGGGGCTGGATGGGTCAAGTATTATTACTAATTGCAGTTTATTCCACAAGGTTGTGCAAGAGATCAAAAAGATGGAAACCTGCCACTAGCAGCAATTTGACGAAGAAAGATAGAACTTTGAGTGAATATAAAACCCAAATCCTGATAGCAAGGTTGGTTTTGCCTCTAGGAGATTGTGACTGTTTTACTTATTTTGGTCCTATCTAGAACTGTCAATAACAGGCTTAAAAACTTTATTTTTTACTTATTTGAGGAAAAGTTGTAAGAATTTCCAGTCATTCTTAAGGCAGACATCATTTCTCTCCATGGGCTCCTCTGCTCTCCATCCGCTCGCTCTCGAGGAGACACAAGGCATCGTTTTTAAGGCAGACCCCCTTTCTGGGCTCTTCTCTTTCCTCCTAATTTCACTACTCTCAATTGTGGAAGTCCAAAACCTAAAAAGCTAGCAGCAGCGCAATGTCAAAAGCTAGGATTATTATGGAAGAGACATGCCAGGAAAAACAAAGTGGTGATATCTTGAAATTTACGTATTTCTAATGATTACATTAATTTAAAAAATTACCATGCCAGGATTTTGCTTGGTAGGTGACTGACCTTAGGAATGCCCATTGCTCATCACTGAAGTGATTCAACATGGGCAAATTTGACAGATCCCATCCTATGTGTTTTTCACCACTTTCTCCCATTTCCACACAAATCATGATGATTTCTCCCAGTCTCTTTGTTGGAGTCTGGTCAGATTCTGATTGCTCAGAAGATGAGGATGGAGATGCTGGGGTAGATTCAGAGGGCCCAGAAAAGGATATAAGTGGCCTGGAGAGAGTTGTTTTGGAATCTCCTGGCAGTTCCCACGAGACTGGAGAAAGCGATATCAGTTCTCATAAAAATCTGTCAGAAGTGCAGGCTGAGAAAAATGTGGGAGACAAATGTTTGTCCAGATCAAGGTGCTTGGAACTTCAGAGGCAGAGCGTACAACAGAGACAGACTAATTTTTCCCAGTGGATTAGAGATAAGGAGAAGAAAAGCAGGTGTGTGAGGAATGATGTCATGGGAGGGAATAGAAGCTTTTAAAGTGGTTTTCTGCTGGTACAATTCTTTGGGAGAGCAAAGATGTATTCAGGTGAACAGCTCTCAGTTCCTGGTCCTATGTTTGTGTATTCATGTATTAAAGTTTCTAAGTTTGTTCCTGGTTCTAGTTTCATGTGTAGTATAGGTTGCCTGCCTTGGGTTCGTGCTATCATGTTTATGGATAGATTTGGTCACTGACTCTTGAGACTAATTTGAAAGGATTTTGGAATCTTGGGCAATCTTGGAAATACCTGTTTGAAGTTTGATTCTCCTTTCTAAATTTGCTTATTTTTATATACTCTTCTCTCAATAAACTTTTACTTACTGGATTACCTGGACAGAGTGTGGTTTGTGGTGGAAGGGTGTTTCAGGGCTACCGTACAACACTCCCGCCCTCCATTTCTTAACCCTTCTAAAACAGTTCCCTGACAAAGCATCAACAATGACATGCTCCTGTCTACATAGTTTGATGGGCTCGTTAGGGAACTGTTTTAGAAGGATTAAGAAACGAGGGACAGGACTGCATGGGATAATGGGCTAAGTAGGGATTTGAACCCTGATCTCCTGGAGTCTTCTTCCAATATGAAAACCATAACATCATCTTAGTTTAACTACTAAAAAGGACTACTGTGACTACTGTAAAAGGAACTAGTCTAGTTGACTTTAACAAGAAGTTCCAGAGAAGCTGGAAGTGGCTGAACAGAAGGCCCTTACCTGAGAAAAGCCTGGGCAATCTCTGGACCACAGAACCCAGCTGTACGTGTTCCACCATCACTTCCTGGATCCTCTGCAGATTCTGGAAAGAGATGGTGCTGGACGCCAAGTCTTGTTGTATGCTGCCCAGCTCTTCCTGCACATGCTGGAGGTCTGTGATGGCAGAATGTAACTGCTCCAAGCCCATGCTCACCCCATCCAAGTACGACTGGAGAGTTGACTGGGGATGAAGAGAGGTTTGAGAAGAGGTTTCACACTAATTGCACATGAAAAGGAGAACGTGCGATGTGACAGGATGTCAGTTCAACAGCAGGAAAACACAGCAAAAATGGGAGCGAATGGGATGAAGTCCCCACCTTGATGCGGGATTGGATGGAATTGTTGCGCTGTGTTTCCCGGACCCAATACTGTGCAAGGCCCTCCAGTTTGCCCACTCTGCAAAACACTCCCGAGGCCCATTTTAAGGCAGCGCCTCTTGCTAATGGTTCAGCCTTTGCTGCTTCAGGCCATTCTCCATCTGCGAGGAAAGAAACACAAATCAACATGTCTTTAACGAGACAGGAATACCTCCTGCATCACAGCTGCTTTCCTGATATGCAGGAAGCAAACAGGATGTGCCTGAATTGGTCGACAAAAGGCGGAGACAAAAGTAGACAGAGCTTTGCTGGAGGGAAACCTTGGAGTGCTGGAGACCCATCAGCTCAGCAGCGGAGGCTGGCTGGCTTGCCCGCTATGCCACGGTGTGAGCAGGCATTCCTCCACGCCCTTTGCAATTTAGAGATGGAAACCAGAACATATTCAAACAACATCTGACGGAAATCAAATTGGCAAAATGTATCAATGTGGATTGTGAAAAAACACACAAGCAAGAAGATGTAGCCGTTTGCCTTTTCCTGATCCAACTGGGAAGGGCACGAGTCCACCACTTTATATCATGGACTGAGTTAATTGAGTGCACTTTGAACTCAAGCTTGCAACAACTGCATAAATGGAAGATGAAGACAGAAAAATATCAGTAAATGGAAAACAAAGAGAAAAAACACAACAAATCTGTAGTTTTCAAGTGCTGACACCCAGCACTAGACCTGCACTTACCTTGGCATGATCTCTCTTACTGATCTCCCAACACATTCGCCAATGCTTCACAAAACAAAAGCAAGGCAACTGTGGCCAAGCAACCTCACAGTGTGGTAAAGATGGCAAAAGTTATTTCTTACTTAAGCAATCCCTTGTTGTCTGAGTATGATGGCCTTCCAAGTGTAGCGTCTTGGCGGTGGATATGTAGATGACTGTGGAGTCCTATTCTTGAACCACATGTTCTTCGACAGTGAGGGCATCGGTTTCTAGGTGGAAGGAGGTCCCGGTCAGGGTTGGCTTGACGCACCTTCCTCTTGGCACGTTTCTCCCTTTCACTCTCCGTTCATGCGTCTTCAAATCCCGCAGCACTGCTGGTCACAGCTGACCTCCAGTTAGAGCACTCAGGGTCCAGGGTTTCCTAGTTCTTGGTGTCCATGCCATAGTTGTTAAGGTTGGCTTGAAGTCCATCTTTAAATCTCTTTTCCTGCACACCAACATTACTTTTCCCATTCTTGAGTTGGCAGTACAGTAACTGCTTTGGGAGACAGTGATTGGGAATTTGGACAATGTGGCCTTCAGTCCAGTGGAGCTGATGGCGGAGGACCATGGCTTCAGTGCTGGTGGTCTTTGTTTCCTCCAGCACACTGACATTTCCCTGCTTGTCTTCCCAAGAGAAGCAGGATTTTTCAGAGGCAGCATTGATGAAATCGTTTCAGGAGTTGAGTGTGACGTCTGTTGACAGTCCACGTTTCGCAGGTGTATAGCAGGGTTGGGAGGTCAATAGCTTTATAAACAAGCACCTTGGTCTCCCTATGGATGTCCCGATCCTCAAACGCTCGCTGTTTCATTTGGAAAAATGCTGCACTTGCAGAGCTCAGGTGGTGCCAGAAATACAGTTTAATGGTGTAACATTAGAAAAGGCTGACAATTTCTGCTCCCTTGGCAGCTACTTCTCTACAAAAGTCAACGTTGACACTGAAACCTTATCATAAAATCATAGAATCAAAGAGTTGGAAGAGACCTCATGGGCCATCCAGTCCACCCCCATTCTGCCAAGAAGCAGAATATTGCATTCAAATCACCCCTGACAGATGGCCATCCAGCCTCTGTTTAAAAGCTTCCAAAGAAGGAGCCTCCACCACACTCCGGGGCAGAGAGTTCCACTGCTGAACGGCTCTCACAGTCAGGAAGTTCTTCCTCATGTTCAGGTGGAATTTCCTTTCTTGTAGTTTGAAGCCATGGCTCCATTGCGCCCTAGTCTCCAGGGAAGCAGAAAACAATCTCTAGTGAAGTAGAGATACAAGCTAGGGAAGGATCAAATCACTTGCTTTTCCCTGCATCTGCTGGGAAGGACACAATGTGACTTGCCACGATTGAAAGAGGCAAAGGACAAGGAGAAGTGTGAGACCGAAGAGGACAACCCAAATTACCTTGTCAAAATCAGGCTGTGCATTAGATTTGTGTAATAGGGTAATCTTAGTGTTGAACCAAAGCAATAGGGAAAGCTGCTTCATGGGCAAACTTTGGCTCTCCCTCCAGGTGTTTTGGACTCCCACCATTCCTAACAGCCTCGGGCCCTTTCCTTTTCCCCTTCAGCCGCTTAAGTGGCTGAGGGGGGAAAGGAAGAGGCCTGAGGCTGCTAGGAATGGTAGGAGTTGGAGTCCAAAACATCTGGGAGGGCCAAAGTTGGTCCATGCCTGGCATAGATGCACCCCAAGGTTTTATTTATTTATTTATTTATTTATTTACAGTATTTATATTCCGTCCTTCTCACCCCGCAGGGGACTCTGGGCAGATCACAATGCACACATACATGGCAAACATTCCATGCCATAGACACACAACATATACAGACACACACACAGAGGCTATTTAACTTTCTAGCTTTATGAGGGCATGCTTCGAATTTTGGTCACCGGGGGAGCTGTGGCTTCACTGTCCACTTGTGACACCGATGGAGTACTTCCTAATTCTTTTGCATGCTGCTGGAGAGTTTTATGGTGTTGTAAATTAGTTAAATTAGCCTCCCCGCATAAACTGTCCTTTTTTTCCAACTTGACAGATGCAACTGTCTTTCAGGCTGCAAAGGTCGACAGCAAGCTAGACTCTAACCCAGGCTGGCTTCGAACTCATGACCTTCAGTAGTGATTTTAATGCAGCTGCGCCACAACCCGATCCTTTTTATTACCTACTTCGCTTTATTCCCCTCCAAGCTTTTTAGGATTGGTTTATTTCTAAACAGGACATTTCTTACGACCCCATGCAAACTTCTCTCTCGGATTGCTCGCCTTCTGCCCCTTGAATGCAATCTCCAGGCCTGTAGCGAGGGGGTGGTTTTAGGGGTTCAACCCCCCCCCCGAAATGTTTCAGATTTTTAAAAAAACCTGGTTTACTCATGAATTTTAACTGGTTAACCAAATCCCCATGCTAAGTCTATGAGATGCAAAAAATCAAGAGTCCCTCCAGAACTGCAAGCACTATCTCAGGCAAATATTGACAATTTATTCACACTGTCATTACTTGCAGCAATAGCTGATGTAGTGAAGCAACCAAGTTGGGGGGGGGGGGTGTTGAATGCTCTCATTAAGGAGGCCAGACTTGGTGGAGGTGGTTGACAGGGGCGGAGCTGCAGGCTATTGAAGGCTGCTCTGCCCCCTGCTGTGCTTTTTGCTTCAGCATGAGCTAGGAGGCAGGTTTCAACCCCCCCCCCCCAAATTTCAACCCCTCCCGAAATTTTTTTCTGGCTACGGCCCTGGCAATCTCCAAAGCATTTGCTAAAATCTCAGCACACTGTCAGGATAAAGGATGCTTTCTGATCTGGGGATGTGTCAGAGAACAGGAGGGATTTACAGTTGGGAAAGGAGGGCAGAATGTACACAGGGAAAACCTGCTTCACCCAGCGCTCACCTACGAAGGGGCCGAACATCCCACAAAACATCTGGGGCACTGTGGCTTCTGTATTACCTTTGTGGCTGGCGGGACCCTCCTCCTCCTCCTCCGCAGACGGGCCCATGTCCGGCCTGTCCAGAGCTCAGGGCTGGGAAAAGCAGAGCCGAGCAATAGCCGTTTCTGCCAGAGCGATTACTCACAGCTCTGCCGGGCTGCAGATATATATATACTCCGGATGTAGGAATGGGAGGGCAGGGGAAACGGGAAATGAGCTTTATTCTTAGGGAATGCAGACGAAACCAGAACAATACTGTGTACATACACACCTGGCAAAGTCTGCCTGTCCCATGCTGATGCATGAGTCATACCCTCCAGCACATCACAGATGAAAATTGAGATGTGTGAACATAAGAGTGTGGTTAAGATGGCCATGTGACACATAAGATGGAGGACCTTGTAAAAGGCCTTGATGTCAATAAGGTTCCTCATGATCAAACTGCTAAAATGTGGGCTAGACAATACCACTGTGAGATGGATTTGTAATTGGTTGAGTGACGAACGCAAAGGGTGCTTCTCACCAATGGTTTGTCTTCATCCTGGAAAGAAGTGACCGTTTGGCTGCCCAAAAGCGGGCACTGTCCCAGGGCCTTCGGTGATGTTCAACATCTATTTAATTATTAATGACTTGGATGACAGATAACTACAGGAGCCACTTTTAGGGATGTTATTCTGAGTCCCATGAAAGGCAGCATATGACTTTACAGAAGGCATCGCGCCCAGCACAGTTATTCAAAATTGTTCGTGCCTTGATTAGTCCGGCTCCTTTAGTCCAGAACCCAACAACTATGCCTATTACAGCTTTGGCATTCCAAGAATTTTTCACTAACAAAATTACCATGCTTCGGCGGGAACTCTCTCCCACAGTCGACAATTTATACACAGACACTATCGCTTGATTGAGCCTCACTACTCGCATCTGACTCATTTTCCGCAGCTGCTGCGTCTTGGCCACGCCAATGCTGCCATCTTTGATCCAGTGCCTGATCCTGCCAAGATGAACCCTCCTCCCAAGTATCCTGGAATCCCTCAAACTCATCACTGGACGTAGCTTGGGTGCATATGTCCCTAATGTTCTTAACAAGAGTCCAATCTAGTTCCGCCTCCATTTCATCCTCGCTAGAACTGGAATTGTCTGCTGTATCTTTAAGTCTTTTAGACAGAGTATCACTATCACTGTCAGACTCACTGGCCACCCGCTTTACTCCCCGGTAATCTGACTCTACTACGTCCCCAGGGCCGAACCCTGCAAAGTCCTCTGAATCGCTCGGGGCCAAAAAGATATCACGAATGCGCTTCAGCTGATGCTGATCCAGGTCTGATTCAGCATCACTCCTCCTTCTCCTGCAACCAGTAGTAGATACGGTGCCAGGACGCTGAGCCTCAACATAGGGCCTTTTACTCTCGCACTTAAGACCTGGCTTTTTACTAGAGCATTCGATCCCTGCTAATTTTTAATTTTTGTATGTATGTATTTTATCTTTTATAATTTAGCTGTAAATCGCCTAGAGCATTCTCGGATGGAGGGCGATTAATAAGTTATTAAATGATGATGATGATGATGATGATGATGATGATGATGATGATGATGAAGGCATGGGCAAACTGGCCCTCCAGGTGTTTTGGACTTCAACTCCCATAATTCTTAACAGCCTACCGGTCAGTTCAGAAAGATACCATATGGCATAATGGCCTTTTAAAAGTTGTTTAGGGCCTCTTTAGTGCGTGCCGGGGCCACTTTGCCCATTTGGTGCCTTTTAGAAGTTGTTTAGGGCCTCTTAACTGTGTGTTAGGGGCCATTTTGTCCATTTGCTGCCTTTCAGAAGTTGTTTAGGTGGGAGGCTGTTTCTGAGACTCCAGTTGGGGAGGGGAGAGAAGACATGTTCGGTGCATGGCAGCATGGTGCTCATGCACAGGCAGGGGAGCCAAAGCAAGGATGGAAGGATGGACGAAGGCTTGCACCTGTGAATCCATTTTTTTTCATGTCAGGAGTGACTTGAGAAACTGCAAGTTGCTTTTGGTGTGAGAGAATTGGCCGTCTGCAAGGATGTTGCCCAGGGGAACGTCCAAATATTTTGATGTTTTACCAACCTTGTGGGAGGCATCTCTTATGTCTCCGCATGAGGAGCTGACAGAGGGAGCTCATACACACACGCCCTGGATTTGGACCTGCAACCTGTCAGTCTTCAGGCTTGCCGCCACAGCGGTGTAACTGAATCCATTGAAGGCAAGGGGGAAAATGCCCCTGCAACATGGGACTGAGAGTGGATCAGCAGCATCAAGAGGGAGAGGAGCAGCAGAAATCCCAGCATTAGGTGAACTACAACTCCAAAATTCAGGGCGTCCCCTGGGCAACGTCCTTCCAGACGGCCAATTCTCTTACAACAGGAGCGGTTGTTCCTGACACAACAAAAAAAAAAACTCCAAAATTTCAAAGTCAGTGCCTACCAAACCCTTCCATTATTTATTGTTGGTTATGGGAGTTCTGTGTGCCAAGTTTGGTTCAATTGCATCATTGGCAGAGTTCAGAATGCTCTTTGTTTGTAGGTGAAATACCAGCAACTACAACTCCCAAATGACAAAATCTATCCCACTGCAACTCCAGCAGTATTCAGATTTGGGCATATCGGTTATTTGTGCCAAATTACGCCAATTAATTTGAAAAATAGGATCCATGTTAGTGTTATTTAACTCAAATCAACCTACACTTTGTGCAAGTGATAAACGTGATAATAGTATCATCTCCACTGGAACAAGAATTCCAGCTTTCCACTTCTGTAGGGAGTAAGTTTCTCTGCTGGCTGGAGGGGGCTGGACCAAATTCCCTTTGGGGGTCTCTGGCATCTCATTCCCTGGAGCTATTTCAACAGGCCGGATGGCCGTCTTCTGGGAGGGCTTTCCCTGGTCTTCCTTCCTAGCCGAAAGGGCTTGGGCTGGGTGGCCTTAGTGATTTATCACACGGGTGTCCTACTGTTCTTTCCATAGACACAAAGTCCTCAGTCATTCCAGAAACAGGGACATTTCAGAGCAAATCCCCCACATAGAGACACCAGAGTATCAGAAGCACATTGGCTACCTCTCACTGAATGGTCCAATAACCACAGAAACCTTAAAGTATTTAGAATGATAGAATAACTTTATTGTCACTGTACATTGTACAATAAAAGGAAATGCTTTTGTCAACAGACATCACAAAAACAACATACCCATCCCTCCAAAATTCAAGCACCAACCACCATTTCAGAAGGAAGGTCTGTTTCTGCGCATGGGTTGCTCCCATTTTGACACAACATCACACAACATCAGTTCTTAATAGCAAAATACTGAGTTTATTTCTTTGTTTTTAGTCTCTTCCTTTTGAGCTGCTCTTAAATTTCTTCGAAGAAGAAGATATAACTTGAATTCTGCAAATAGGCAGCTGAAGAGTGGCAGGAAAAGGGAAGGGGAAGGGAGAAGAGAAGGGGGGGAACCGGAAGGGGAGGGGGAAGGGGGGGAGGGGGAAGGGGAAGGGAGGGGAAGGGGAAGGGGAAGGGAAGGGAAAGGGTGGGGAAAAGAGGGACAGGAGAAACAGAAGGAAAGAAAGAAAGAAAGGAAAGGAAAGGGAAAAAGAAAAATAGAAAGCAAAGGATACGGAAAAAGAGAGAGAAAAGAGAAACAGAAAGAGAAAAGAAAGGAGAAGATGGATGTAAAAAAACCTACCGCTCAATTTCAGTATTGAATATTGATTATAAATAATTTGCTAATATCTTGGTAGAATGACTAAAGCACTTTCTAATGGATAAAGGAAGAACAATGGGGCTT